GGGGGTCCCTGGACTAAAGAAACTGGCCAGTCTGGAAAAGCTTAGCGTTTACATCTGGAATCGTAGCTTCTGGCTCCTCCAAGATGCCAAGATTTGAAACTGGTTTACACACTGGGGTTTTTAGAGGACAGAACTCCCGAAGCATGGATCAGGCCACTCTTTACATCCCCATGATATGTTTCTGGCATGAGGCACTCCTGAAAGGAGGAAAGTAAGAGTCATGGGTCCATGGATGTGTTTCTGGAGCCCAGTTAAGTCTGGAACGGACTCCTAGCAATTCCGGACTGGCACGTGGGTATGATTAAAAATGCAAATGCTATTTTAGCATGCATTTGGTAATCATTCCCCTCTTATTTGGCACTGGCCGGGCCGCCTCTAGAGCAAAGGTTCTCAAACTTTGGTTTCCAGATGTTCTTGGACTGCAACTCCCAGAAAACCCGGCCAGCCTGGCAAAGGGTGAAGGCTTCTGGGAATTGCAGCCCAAGAACATCTGGGGATCTTTGAGAACCACCAACCTAGAGTATTCTGCCCAGTTCTGGATTTCACTTTAAGAAGGATGCCAACAAACTGGAGCAAGTTCAGAGAGCAACTTTTTTTTAAAAAAAGGGGGTATGTTTACCCTTGAGAAAAGAAGACAGAAGAGAGACAGGACAGCTCTATTCAAATACCGTGGTGCCTCGCTTAACGAGCGCACCGTTTAACGACGAATCCGCATAGCGACATGTTTTTTGCAATCGCTAATGCGATCGCATTGCAATGTTTTAGGTTGCAAAACATCGCACTGCGATGATCGGTAAGCATTTTGCTTACCAATCTTCACAATGCGATGTTTAGAAAACAGCTGATGGGCTGTTACAAAATGGCCGCCCGCAGCGTTTTCGCGCCCTGCCCTTGCTTACTGAGGTGGTAAAAATGGCGATTGGATGGGGAATCTTCGCTTACCGGTGAGTTTCCCCCCCCCCATAGGAACGCATTAAACTGAGTTTAATGCGTTCCTATGGGGTTTTACGTTCCGTATAGCGATGTTTCCAGATAGCGACGTTAATCCTGGAACAGATTAACGTTGCTATGCAGGGCACCACTGTACTTGAAAGGCCGTCCTACAGAGGAGGGGCAGGATCTGTTCTTGATCATCCCAAAGTAATGGGCAAAAGCTCCAGGAAGCCAGATTTCGGCTAAATATCAGGAAACATTTCTGAACTGTTAGAGCAGTACGACAATGGAACCCATGACCTCGGGAGGTGGTGAGTGCCCAAACACTAGAGGCCTTCCAGAGAAAATTGGACAAGCATCTATCCAATCTGCTTTGGATTTGGATCCCTGCCTTGATCCGATGGCCTTCTAGGTGCCTTCCAGCTGCATGATTATATGACCCACGATTCAAATGGAGCTGCAGCTCCCTAAGATAATTCAAGCAAGCTGGTCTATAGACAGAGGATGTCATGAGGGCAAAAACCTTCTTTTGGTGGTTTGTACACACAAAGCAATTTAGCGCTTCTAAAAGGGGAGGGGAGAGAAGAATAGGACCCTCCCTTGCCAAAACCCAGCTCTTTTTAAGATTGCACGCCTCCAGACGCCACTGAAGCCAAAATCCTGCTCCAAATTACCAAAAGCACAAGGGTTTTGAGGTTTTGCAAGGCTGTTTTGGGGTGCTGGTTGGAGGACCCCCAAACTCATTCTGGGCATGGGCTGGACCGTGCTTTTTTTGTTTTGTGCCGCTTCACACTGCCATCGTTCCAACAGAAGGGTGGCTATCGCTGGGCGGAAGTCCACTTTACCGTCACCAGCATTTTCCCCTAAAAGGACACAATTCCCAAGAGTGAATCTCTTGGGGGAGGATGAAGTAAAAACAGGGAAATGTCACCATAAGGCGACAGGAGGAAGGCTGAACTACCTCAGACTCCCCAAGGCCATGTAAACCCAGCGTCCTGTATCTCCCCTCCGGTGGACCACCAGAAACTTCTAGGTAGCCTTCAAAGTAGACCCAAAGTTATAAGCCTTTGCTTAGAATAGAACCATGTACCCATCACAAGAGGCTGGTCGACATGTCCCCTTGTGTATTCCTCTGACCCGCCTATCCATGGAACTCCGTTAGGGTTAGAGTCTGCGTTCAGAACACCTAGAGGTTCAGCCACCACCAGAACGGAGCAGATTAGTGCTTCTGGACTTGACGCTTCCAGAATTCTAGAGGCTTCGATCCAGAAACACCTCTACCCTTCAGCCTCTCTCCAGTTAAAGGGAGCCAGAGAATTACCAACCGGACACACCTCTACCAATCAGAGAATGTGGCCATCGACCCTTGAAGCAGACCTTGGACATAATGTATTAAATTTAAAATCATAACCTGTGACTCACTGTTTATTTATTTAAATAACCGGTATCCCAACATATTATTTTTAAGATGGAGCAGGGGAGGCCCTGTTACACAGCAGCTGCGTCCTTATGTTATCCTGGCTACTGATAACTGCTCCCTGCAGTCTTCTCCTCCAGGAGGGAAGGCAATCTGTGAGCATTGCAGCTGGGCTTCGTGGCCGTCCCAAACCGAACGGATTTCTCACGGTGGAGGTTTACGAGAGCAGCATTAATAAAAGTGGGTACCCGCCTGAGAATTACCAACTTCCGGTGACCGCTTACGTGTTAAAGAAGCACAGTAGGACCCTCTATCTGTGGGACCAGTATCCACGGATTCGCTTATCTGCTGGCTGACAATATTAAAATTTAAAAAAAAAACAGAAATATTTATTTATAAGCCTTTGCAGGGGAGAACCATAAAAATTGAGAAACCGGCAGAAGAACACGCATCTATGGTAGTTCAGTGGTTTAGGTCTCTTAACTGAAGAGCCAGAGGTTGGGAGTTTGATTCCCCTGCTGGGCTTCCTTGACAACGGCTCGACTGGATGATCTGTGGTTCTAAGATTATTATATAAATATATATCTTGAGGGAGGAGGCCGGATCATCCGAGAGCTGGAAACGGGGTACTAGGAAAGCCAGATTTGGCCCTGTGAATTAATCCACCACTCCTAAACTAAAGGGACATGCTGCTTTGAAGAGGCTGCTCCTTCGTTTCATTACGATAAATCTAAAGGCGCTGTTTGGAAATACAATGAACAGCTGTCGGAAATTAATCTGAGGGGGTATGGTTTATCCTTTTCTTGAAATGATCTTTGGAAAATACTATAAATGTACTCTTTTTTTTTATAGTCAACGCCATTCTTTTGATCAAAACAGACAAAAAACGGCACGTCAGCGTCTTGGCTCCCAGCTGTTCCGATATTCGCGGCAACCGCTTGCTAAGCTGAACGGACATTTCTCGTCTCCCTTCAAAAACGGGGGCGCTTGGTTGCGTGCAGAAGGGGAGCCACTTTTGACAAGGGGCGCACAAGTCTTGTACCTGTGCTCACGGTCCTTTTGAAAGGGAGACCACTGTCTCCGGAGGGGCTTCACCGGGAGGCGCGCTCCCGCCCCCCCCGATTCAGCGTTCTGGGATCGGCCAGCCCCGTCATGAAAGGCCCAGGAAATCGGGCCCCGCTGGAAAAGAATCGCCAGATCATACCATCGCTTCTGGCTGGCTCCGGCTGTTTCGGTTGACAGCTAAACCAAGGATTTCACTAGGGTGATCATGTGGTCGACCCCGCAGGCAACGTCCACTACCTCGCCCGGCACTGTCACCTAAATGAGAAAGACCGACCAATTTACATTAGGATCCCTTTTCTGTCCGCAGACGTCCCACAAAACCCGCAAGGCCTTTTCCGCCCTCCGTTTTTAATTCAGCCCAACCAACGTCTTCCCAGACCAGCTCCACCATGGAAGTCTAGGGATAGCTCGGCGGTTTGGGTCTCCGGCTGAGGAGTTGGAATTTGGGCATTCGAGGCCCCCGTGGAGAAGAGCCAGCCTGGGTAGCCTCGGGCAAGTTGCACAGTCATCCCAGGGCACCCCAGGAGAAAGGGAAATGGGAAACCACTTCTGAGTATTCTCACCCTGGAAAGTGATGCCATAAGACAGAATCAATTTGATGATGGAACACGATTAAGTCTAGGGAAGGGGGGAAAATAGATTTCAAATAGCCAAATATGCAGGTTTCAGGGGGGATTGATTCTTTTTGGCTGGGGGAGGGCAATGAAAAGGAGGTGTTGAGTTTTTAGGTGGTCCTCATGTGGCCTTGCAGAACGAGCCATTCTAGCTTTCTTTAGCGCAGTACAGTGGTGCCCCGTTTAACGACGAATCTACATAGCGATGTTTTTTTCCGATCGTTTTTACAATCGCATTGCGATGTTTGAGCCATTCTAGCTTTCTTTAGCGCATAGCGATGTTTTTTTCTATCGTTTTTGTGATCGCATTGCAATGTTTTAAATGGTAAAACATCGCTTTGCGATGATCGGTAAGCTGTTTTGCTTACCGATTTTTGCATAGCGATATTTTCCTAACAGCTGATCAACAGTTCCAAAATGGCTTCCGGGTAAAAAAAATGGCTGCCCGCAGTGTTTTCGCGCCCATTCCTCGCTTACCGGGCAGCGAAAATGGCGGCCGTATGGAGGATTTTCACAGAATGGTGAGTTTTTTGCCCATAGGAACACATTAAACGTGTTTTAATGCCTTCCTATGGGCTTTTTTGTTCCGCATAGCGATGAATCCGTATAGCGACGATTTTTCCGGAACGGATTATCGTCGCTATGCGGGGCACCATGGTATTCAAAACACAACCAGTATCTCATGGTCAGAACCAGCCGTCAGTCGAGAGGAGTCTTAGCACATAACTCCTGTCCGGATCTCCAGCAAGAGGTTCAAACGCTTTCATAGGCTCCGATCGCGCCAAGGGGTTCTCCTTACCCTCCACGGGAAGTACTGGTCTTCCATTCTTCCGATCCCCAAGCACCCTCTCACGTTTTTGCCCCATACGAAGAGCTCGCCTCGGTCTGGAAACCAAGAGGGACACCACAAAATAATCACTCCCAGCACCCTTGATGGGGCAGGGTGTGTGTGTGTTCACTTTTTCACAACTTCTAAAGCCCATTCCCTCAACCTCTCCTGGCCTTCCTGCACTTCCAGAGTCTCCCCATTTGTTTAAAAATGAAAAACAAGAACAGCAGGCTAAAATCCTTTGTTTCTCACAACCTGGAGGCAAGGGTGGGCAAGACTACTAACTCCCCCACCCCACCCAAAAAAATTACAACCGTAATTTGAGGACACAATTGTCTTCCAACCACTAGGTAAAACTACCTATCGCTAAAGCTTGCTTGCCTTCAGACTGCGTACAGGGACAACATGGCTTATCCCCCTTTTTGGGTTAGGTCATTGAGAAGCAAAGCAAGACAATCATCATTTGAATAGGATTGTACTAGTATTTTTTTAAAAAAAAAATCAGTAATCAATCTCTTCATTTTTCCTATCGAGGGGAGAGAAAAAACACTTATTACCAGCAACCTCTTCCTTTGGCACTGCTGCCCCCTACAGGCTCCACTAAATAGGCACCATTTCTAGTGTTCCCATTGACAGCAGTAAGAGGTATGAAGTCCGTGAAATAATTCTGGAAGCCCTTGCCCAGTTCTTTACTTCTCTGCGGACCGTCTTTGCCAAGCCACGTGGTCTTCCTCCGATGTTGCTTGCACAAGAGTAGAACGCAGTTTTAAGGCGAGGCAGAATCTTCCTTTCCCCCTGAGAAACCTCTCCCAAACACCCCAAAAACTTGCACTCGTTCCTCAAATAGCATTTCGAGTATGAGAAAGGGCTTCAGAAGGCAAGAAAGAAGCCAAAGATCCTTGCCCTGTTGCTGGTGTCTCACCAGATTTAGGTCTATGTTAACACTATTTTTCTCTACTGCAGGATTCAAGCGTCTACCTTCTGTTGACACATAATTCTTTGAGTTCCTAAGGCCCCACATGTTTTTCTCTTGTCCAGCAAGGTTTTAAATCACTTGCAAGAGATGAGCTGTGTCTCAACATTACAGAGCTGGTACAGTTCAGCTTCTCAGCAGTTGGAATGTTGGTGAACATTCCATGACGCCCCAACAATTTAATCAATGAGACATTGGGAGAGGGTCTGAGACCAACATCCCGCTCTTAAGTCTGAAACACAGAGGAACATGGAATCCATATCCAATGAACAGCTCTTGTTTCTGTCAATCGGTGGCAAAGCAAAACAACTCTGGCTTGCAGACAGAAGCCGAAAAGGGTGAATCTGGAATCGATGCAGTATAACTGCGGGAGACGAGAGGTCTTAAAAAATCTGGAATCGATGCAGTATAACTGCGGGAGACGAGGAGGTCTGAATGGGGTGGAGACGTTTGGAACAAGACAGATGGGCTTCACAGATGGTTTAGTCCAAGGCTACTGTCGTACCTAAGGAGTCTGAAATAACTGTGACCGAACCTATTGGGACTTATTTTTATGGAGACATCCCGGGGAGCACATGGAAGAAACTTACTAGTGACAGCAGCGAACTGGCTGAGTCCACAGCGGATCCGAGCGATGCGGACATCCGGGTTGAAGTCCGATAAGCCAAAGAGGGAGGGCGGGATCATCTCAGGGTTGGCCGTTTCCATTAGCTTTGGTCCTTTACCAAGGATGCCATAACCCCATACAAAGACGTGGCCTTGCTCTGGGATGAAGACCAAAGAAGAGAGACAGGGAGATGAAACTGTGTGTCGTCTTTTACAGGAAGCCAACCAGCCCCATCGGATGGGACATTTGACACCAACAACGTTGAGCAGGACAAGGTTTGGCACAAAACTAGCACAAAACACCAGCATAACTTTGAGCATGTGCAGCCCCCACGAAGAGATGCCCAAAAGAGCCAGGAATGGAATTGGGGAAAACCCCTCTGCAAACCAATTTAGTTGCTCTAGCGGCACAGACCTTCTGTGACATCACAACAACTCAGCCAATGGGGTTGATTGAGGGGCCTCCAGGCCAACACACCTCCTGATCTGCTCCTTTACTCCTGTTTTACACACATCTGGATAGCGAGGGGGGTAACAAAGCCAGCAGTCTTGCAGGCTAATAAATTTTGATGAGCATCAGCTTTCATGAACTGGAACTTGCTTCACCAGCTGTATAAACTGAGGGCTTAGTAGGCAGATAGTTATAGACTGGGAGGGGGCAGGGGCAAATCGGAAGGATAACAGCAATGCAAAGTGTCAGCATGATGATTATACCTCATGGTGGGTCACTATGAGTCCTTCCACAGTCATTGGGAGGTGACAGGAACATCCAGGGATAAATAAACAGAGAAGACTCTGTTGCTAAAGGCAGCTTTGAAGAGTTCTGCTTATAATAGTTTCCTGAACATGAGGAGGGAAGGAGCCTGCTCTGCCTCCACTTGTACCCTTTTCCAGAGAACGGGGGCCACCACCAAGCAAGTCTGATTCCTTTTCTGGCCTTTCTCCTCGTAACCACCTTTAGCATTGTGGACTGAGAAGAGCAAGTGAAACGGGTACCTGATTTCTGAGAGAGACATTCTGGAAACTATCGAGGTCCTAAACTCATAAAAAGTTTATAGCAAACAGATCCTGTAGCGGCCACAATATTGTTATTAGTATTTGCTTGCTTTAAATGAACCAAACTTCTGGAGAAGTTCCAAGGTGGCCTCACCATTTAAAAGAGCGTTGACGGTCCCTCCACAAGCTGCTTCCTTCACTCTCCCGACTTTGAAGGGAAGGTGTCTCGGCACATTGACCTACAAAAGGATGGGAGCATGTACATTTTTAAGATTTGCATGAGAAGGGATCCAGGGGAACATCATCATCATCCTACGCACCCAGAAACTGGCTTTACGGTTGTTTGGCCATCGCAAGCTTTCTATTCTGTCCTCTTCATAGCTGTGCTCTTAAGCATAGGGATCGCACCTAGAGGTTTTATTTAATCATTGGTATATCTAAATGTGCCGCACAGCATGCGTACATATGTATATGTGAATGGACTGGGATGTTTCATTTGCATGGTGAAGCATTCTGACCAATCAGAATGTGTCTAGCACCCAGACAGACAGGCATTTTAAAAAGGTGACCATTAAGAGTCAGATAAGATCTGAGCTTTAACTGGGTTCAGAGAGGGCGAGACGGGCAATAGCGTTAGGATGTGAGACATCGTTGTTTATTACAATAAACATGTCTGTGAACAAGTAAAAAACTACATGTATGACAAATAACAATAAGTCTAAACGCTATGAGTTTATTATTATATTTCTCCTTGGCCGATGAAGAAAAGGGACTTTGGGGCAGCTAAAATTTTCCCAATTTATCGAAGCTGGGTTACTCCCTAGACAACCTCCATCGGAGGGGACGTGAGGCAGCCCAAGAAGGTATCATCAAAAAAGGTCATGATATTGACATCCAGACTACCATGGCGTCTGTAGTCAGTTGCTACTCCAATGAGATAGATAAAATTGGTTGTTGTGGGTTTTCCGGGCTGTTTGGCCGTGTTCGTAAGGTTCTTCTTCCTAACGTTTCGCCAGTCTCTGTGGCCGGCATCTTCAGAGGACAAGAGGCAGAACTCAGAGCACCGGGGGGGGGGGACGGGGGACGAAGATACCGTATTTTTCGCTCCATAAGACGCACCTTTCCATAAGACGCACCAATTTTTTAGGAGAAAAAAACAGGAAAATATAATCTGTTTTCTTCGCTCCATAAGATGCACAGACTTTCCACCCCCCTGTTTTGTGGGGGAAAAGTGTGTCTTATGGTGCGAAAAATATGGTATATTCTAGAAATGGCAAGATGCGTATTGGTAGATGCTGATTTGCCAAATCAGTTTTGGGATGAAGCTGTCATGACAGCAACGTATCTTCAAACTAGACTGCCAATAAACACAATACCAAAACACTCTGGAAGGCAACACAACGCACCCTAAATTTTTCAGGATGTAATTCTAAAAGAAAATTTTGGCCACTAGAGGGTGCAAGGGAGCTTTTCCTACTCCGAAAAAACATTTTTATAAGAAAAAAAGGGGATGGGCCTCCTCTGGAGGTTGCCCCATGCTTGTTTCAGAGGATAACAACTTCTCCTGGTGCTCTGAGCCTCCCACTTGAGAGACCAAAGATTCTAAATATTTTCTTTGCAAACTTGGGGGCGGGGAGAAATTTGGGGAGGCAGCTCTCGGACCAACAAAACAGCCTGGGTAGCGGAACAATTCTCACCTCTGGCCACTGCCAGAGGCAAAGCTTCCCCCATCATCATCATCATCATCATCATCATCATCATCATCATCACCACCACCAGTCACAAAAGGGTACAGCCTTCGGGATACCTTCTGACCTGGGTTGAGTCTGAAACAGAAGCCAGCTGGAGGTATTCGGAGTTCCCCCAGCCAAAGAGGTCACCATCCTCCGACACGGCAAGGCAGCTGTCCCCGTAGGTAGCCACCTGAACAATCCGGACGCCGGAAAGGTCGCCACCTACTTTCGTGGGCTTGCTTGTAATGTCGTAATGGCCAAGTCCTGATTTAGAGGCAGGGGGAAGAGAGAAACAGGTCAAGGAGGGGAAGATTCTTACATAGACCGACATTAAACTTGGCCGTCAGGTGCTTAATTTGGACAGTCATCGGTTGGGACTACAAAGCCCACAATCCCACCACCACCCATGAGCTGAAGCCCCAAAAAGACACTTAGCCAAACTTTGGCTAATACCTAGAAAGGCACCTTTCACAGGAGAGCATAAAGTGTGGCCCATGCCACAACTCCCATCAGCCCCAGCCAACACAGCCAACAGTGGGGAACGCTGGGAGCTTCAGCATGGCAACAACTTACCTTGCATGAAATAGAGGTTCATGCTTTTTACGATGTTGCTCGTTTAGCATAATAATTATATTAGGCATTTAAATCTGGGCTGGAGGCAGAAGCTTAGCTTCCAACCCACCGAGCCCAGCCGTGGAAAACGGCGGCCACCGAGACGCTTTAGGACTGCAACTCCCAGAAAGCTTCCCCATGGCCTAGGCCACCTAGGGATGCCGAGATGTGGAGGTAAGGAAAAACATCTGGACAACAACAGCTAGACATTTCTGATGTGACTTCAGCCATCAGCGCTAGAGAGCAATTAACGTCAGCAGCAGCCCAGGGGATTTTCGTGAAGATCAGGTAGCAAACCCAGAAACGATATCCTTGTAGGAGAGCTAGTGGAGTGGCGTGACAAGCTAGGATTCTGGAGACCTGAGTTCAAATCTCAGCACAGAATCCTCAGGGTGAGGAGACAGGAGTAAACCCATTCCTTAAAGATCTCCTGCATACTGGAAACCCCACAAGAGCTGCTATATCTCAGACACAACTTGAAGGCACATAACAAAACAATAAATACTATTCAATCTATAAAAAGGGGGGGCCTTCAACAGGTTTCCCCTCTCCCCAGGGCGCCTTGGGAGATCGTTTAACTTCCAGGTACTGTAGTCTGGACCTGCAACGTTGATGAACCAGGGTCATAGGACTGAAGACCTACAAGGGACGTGAGGAGTCTCCTAGTCCAGCTGTTTTCAAACTTAGGTGTCCAGATGTTCTCAGACTGCAACACCCAGAAATCCTGGCCAGCACAGCTCATGGTGAAGACTTCTGGAAGTTGTAGTCCGAGAACATCTGGGGACCCCGATCTGAGAACCACCGTCAACAATCCATGTGTCCATGACACTGTTGGAACAGCGCTTACTGCCCAATTCTTCCTAAGGTGTTGGAGACACCTTCTTCACTCATCAAACAAATCCATTACTTTAGTCCTAGCCTTGGAGGAAAGGGGAAACTAGCTTTCCCCCCCATCTTCCCTGTAAGCGCCCTTCTGCATGTGGAAGCAGATGTTCGACCACTGGGGCAAATAAAAGCAGCTGACTAGCAATCTGCCTAGACAGGGCAACGGGATCCAGTCCTCGTCTCCAGCTATGTTTCTCAAGGAGAAGACGCTTAGCACTCCTTCTACTAAGGAGGTTGCAGTCAGACAATGGTGGCCATGAGAATATGAGAAAAAGGAGTCCCCCGTGGTGGTTTCCACGCGAAACCCATCAGCAAGATGGGACCAGCCTCAGCATCACTCCCAAGAAGATGGCTTTCAGAGACGCACTGCCTCTGAATCCGGAGGCAGCCTCTGGCCATCTTCCCTGGTCGCAGCCATGTTTCCACCCCATGGAGATGATTCAAAAGGAGCTCCCGACAGAGGAACCAGTGCAATGCAGTGGACAGAGTGAGAGGCTAGGTCTCCGGATATGGGGGTTCGAATCCCCACTCAGCCATGAACATTTAAGAGGGCGGATCTGGGGAAAGCATGCCATAAATATCGCGCTTACTTTTAAGGCTCCGTTAGGGTTGAGGTAAGCCGGTTTTGACAGGATGGCACCTAACGCACATCGGGAAGCTGAGCAAAAGATGGCCACCAACAAGCTTCACATGCCATTCTCTCCTGCTTTGGTGCAAATTCACCTGGCCTCCCCTCCCCGGCACCTCAAACAGTCTACCTGTTTGCCCATCGGCTCCCCACCCGCAGGAATAGACGTCTCCTCTCTCTGTTCTGAAGAGGCTGTGGTCCTGCCCGCAGGCAACCTAAAGGCAGAGAAAGAAAAGAAGGAAAGGAGAAATAAAAGGAACGTGGGAGGCAGAAGGAGGCAGGAAGACAGAGAAAATGCCAAGATCTCAGAGGGCTGCATCGCCTCCTGTAAAACCTTGATCCTGGCCCCGCCACCAAAAAAATGCTCACAAAAAGAGAGAACAAAATATTAAGTGAAAAGGCCTTCTTTTTCAGTGGGAAGGTGAGATGGCATCGTTTGGAAGAGAAGCCAGCATTGCAAAATTTTGCTTAATTTATTTTTTTACTCCAATGATACGTGCAGGGCCCCCCACAACCCCTTGTTTGTGATGAGAATAAGTCGCACAAAACACACGCCAAGTGAAAAAGGGAACACACCATCGCCAGCTGTACTTGGGGCTCAAATGCTCTCTCGAACAGTCCATTTCACAAAATGTATTTATAAAACGTAAAAAGAGACAAAGTACTCCGATTACAGCCTCTCCCCCGTCCGATCTGCCCACTGAGCCACACCATCCTCCACATGATATAATCCTTTATTATTCTATTTCTTTTCCCTTCTAAAAGCTTGAAATCCATGTTTGAAGGCCTGATTAATGATATGAATAGTTCTAACTTAAATCCGGAGCCCTCTTTGTGCCCCACCTTTTTATCCAACCCACCCTGGATGCAAGGCGATAAAAATTCATATACCGGACATAAGAGAGGGAATCTTACTCACTTGGACCACACGGTCTTCAAATGCCGGCAATCTGTTAACAAGCTGGCTCTCGCTGTGTTTCGCCAAGAAGAGATGGCAATAAAAAATTTCAATCAATGAACACGAAGAAGGAAAGAGGGTTTTTTTGAATGGAAGTAGAACTGATATTCATGTTTGACTGAGCTTTAAAGCAGTTGCGTTCAGCTTCTAACATTTGAAATCCCACTTTCCTGGCAATTTGCTCCAAGGTGTGGCAGGGCCGTTGAAGTTATTATTTTTATATATTACGGTCAATGACCAGGAAGATAAAAATACATTTGAAATCCCACTTTCCTGGCATCATTAGAGATAAAATCACATAACATCAGAGACACTGGACAAGACATGTCACCGTCATGCCTGGCTCTTTTATGTCAACTGATGTTAAAAAAAGAAGAAGACGACGTTCTAAGTTAGCCCACGGGGCTGAAGGATATAAAAGCTTTTAAAACATCACACTGGTCACTCAATATATGATGAAATTAAGAGACACCTATAACCATCAGTATATAACCCCCCCAACTTTCCTAGAAAGTAAAAAATAAAGAAGAAATATCTAACAAGGAAAGGGGAAACTCGAAGACCTTGGTCACTCAATATATGATGAAATTAAGAGACACATATAACCATCAGTATATAACCCCCCAACTCTCCTAGAAAGTAAAAAATAAAGAAGAAATATCTAACAAGGAAGGGGGCACTCGAAGACCTTACGTGGTCAGGAGACTGTGGCAAGCTACAGTGGCTGTGTAGTCTGTGGCCACTTTACTAGTAATGCAAGAAACCGGATTGGAGAGCAGCAAACGAATATAAGATTAGTTGGACCTCCCCGGAAATTTCTGAAAGTTGACGTTGTCTACCACTCGGCTGGGTGAACAAACAGACTCAAGGCAAAAGGGTCTATACATCCGTCTATGACTCAGTGACAGACTCACAAACCTACTCTATAAAATGCCACTAAAGAATAGTAGACACCTTCCCGACGTTTAGGTTCTCGTCGCCGCCCAACCTCCACCCCGGGAACCACGAGTCTAGGAAAGGTCTACATCGGAGGAACCGGGCAGATCGAAAATAAGCGTCTCTCACCTGTACACTTCCCCTTCCACCACTTTCCGGCCACACTGTCCGTAGGAATTGTTGCCCATGCTGAAGACTGGAACAAAGACAGATGACACCGTGAGCCAGTTATCAAGGACGACGACAACGAAAGACAGAAAGGAAGACCGACTAGAAGAGGGATGCTTTTGGTACCCTTAAGGCTAAACAACTTCCTTCCATGAGCAAAAACACTTTAAACAGCCACCATCCCACCCTGAACATCCCTATCTGATTTCACATGAATGGGGAATTAATACATGAATGGGGAAGCATCTGGTTTCTGTACAGGGCAAGGGGACAGTAACAGGCCATGGGCTTCACATTCAGAAGGTACAAGGTTCAATCCCCAGCATCTCCAGGTAGAGCCGGCGGGGGGTGGGGGGGAATTGGCCAAAATATACTGGAGACTCAGTAACAGGCCATGGGCTTCGCATTCAGAAGGTACAAGGTTCAGTCTCCAGCATCTCCAGGTAGATCTGGCGGGGGGTGGGGGGGGAATTGGCCAAAATATACTGGAGAGCTACTGCCAGTAGGAGTTGACAGGATATGGCTTGATGGAGCAGAGGTCGGGCTCTGCAGAAAGCAGCTTCCTATGACTGTAGACGGGCATCGTGGCTCATTTCCAGTTGCCAACCACGATGGGAGATGTCGTCTAAAACACCGAGAGGACAATACTGTTGCTTTCCCCAGCTTGAAAAAAGGGGGGGATCTTATCAGGGCTGTGAATTCAGCCAAAGGCTGAATCGGGTCTTAGGACCGACGGTTAGGAAAAAGCAAAGCTTATACACCACCCCACTCTCTGGGGAATTTACAATTTAACTATGCAGGCTACACATTCATACACACACCCCATGAAGTGGGTACTCATGTGACCAACCTTGGAAGGATGGAAGGCTGCGTGTAAAACATCAAGAGGACAATACTGTACAGTTGCTTTCCCCAGCTTGAAAAAAAAAGGGGGGTCTTAGGGCTGTGAATTCAACCAAAGGCTGAATTGTGTCTTAGGACCGACGGTTAAAAAAAAGCAAAGCGTGCTGGGAGGTAAACCACCTTTACCAATAGCATCCCAATCCAAGCAAGACAGAAAACTTGGGGGAGAATCGCAACGACCCTTACCTCCTTCTATGTCCGTAAGCACCAAGGCCAGGGACTGAACCCAGATTGTCAGCGGAGTTTTGACTGCAGTCCTGCAGTTTAACCACTGCATCGTGAGCAGGGAGGTAGACTACCTTTACCAATAGTGCCCCAATCCAAGCAAGACAGAAAACTCGGGGGAGAATCGTAATGACCCTTACCTCCTTCTATGTCCGTAAGCACCAAGGAGTGCGCTCGGCCACAGGACACCTGCAGAACCCGCGTCTGTTGAGGCTTGTCCAGGGGCAAAGGAACAGGGCTTGGCTCCAGAACATGTTCGTAACATTTCGCTTTTTGATGGACATTTGCAAGAAAAGAAGGAAGAAGCAAACGCATTGCACGTCATTATGATCGGGAGCTCCAGAGACACAGCAGGAGCAGGAGACCGATTATTTCTATTTAAAAGGTTGGGGGAAAAAACTTCCAGGTTCAAAATTCCCCAGAAAAGTCACACATTTACAGGCTTAGGGAGTGTGCTAATAACTGGGCGGTGGTCAATTTGCGTGCGGAAATCGGCACAGCATAAAGAACAGCAGGAATGAGGCACATAGCATGCCATGCTTTCAGGGAGATTAAGGTGCTGCTAACAGCTGGAAATTTAAAGACTTTAAATGGATATTAAAAACAAAGGGGGGGATAGAGATAAGATATGATATTCCTTGACGTGGCCCCACATCTCAAAGTGAGCCAGGTAACTGCTTATAAAAAGTCTTTTCAGTGATGTTATTCCCACAATGGGGTGCCAGCCCCAGAGAGATTTGCTCGGTGTCTATTTTATTCCTTTGTCTGACACGAAAAGGACCTTAAATCAAAATTTGCACCACTGACAAGTGCAGCTTCAGTCCAAATAATAACTGTGTACCATCAAGTTGATTCCGCACCACTGACAAGTGCAGTTTCAGTCCGTACCATCAAGTTGATTCTGACTCATGGTTACCCATTTCAAAGTTTTTTAGGTAGAGAAATGGAGAGCACTGTATATCTGTACTCAGACATGCTTTACCCTTCCCTTCCTATGGGGGCGCTGTGAGGCTGTACAGCTTGCCCAAGGTCACCCAGGCTGGCTCTCCTGGCAGGACGGCACAGCGAGGAATCAAACTCCCAACCTCTGGCTAACTGCAGCCAGAGACCTAAGTGCTCGCTATTATATTATGGTTTTCAAATGTTGTTGCTTGTATACATTGTTTTACTGCTCCATTCAAATCATTTCCTCCTCTGCTCCAGCTTGTCCGGGAACACGACTAAAGATTATAAAGAAAGCTTAACAACACCAGCAATGATTGCTATCAAAAATTAAAAGATTTCAGACCAGCAGACGTGAAAGAATAAGCCACCAGCTACGCAATGAAGCACAAATGTGTTGCCAACAGAAGGATCCAGATTTACTCTGTGCCAAGGCTAAGCAAGGGTAGAAAAGGGGTCTCCCCGTCAACAATATAGGCCTAGAATCAGCGATGGCGAACCTATGGCACGCGTGCCACTGCTGGAACATAGAGGGGCACGCGAGCCATTAAGTCACCATCGAGAAATACTTATCCATCCTCTGATCCTGGATTTTGGCACTCCCCTCTGCTGGTGGTGTAGTCCAATGGAGGGGCGCAATGGTGACCATTACTGGTGCCGTGGTCCAGTGGAGGGGCGCAATGGTGACCATTACTGGTCTAGCCCAATGGGGGACTGGAGGACCGGTAAGTATTTCTTTGTTAATACCGCTCATAGGGAAGAAAAAAAGGGGGGGGTTAACCCTTGCAGTGCAGGAGCAGTTGTTTTTTTATAAACTAAAACCTCAATATTCAGGTTTCAATTGCAGTGTTGGCCCTTTGAAAACAATAAGTTGGTTTTGCGTTGCAGTTTGGGCACTCGGGCGCAAAAAGGTTCACCCTCGCTAGATGGATCCACGATCCGATTCAGCAGAAGGCAGCTTCAAAAGCGGGAAGGACGACAAGGCGCAAAGCCTCAACCTTCTCATACTTACACCGATCTCTCTTGCTCGGATGGAAGCCAATCTGAGAATCCTTGTTCAGCCCCATGCCCCAGACTTTGGTAATGTCAGTCGTTTTGGAGGAAAGAAGGGTGAATCCATACCCACAGGCAGCGGAAGAGATCTTTAAAAGCAAAGCGAGGTAGAAATTAAGGTCTGGTTTAAAATGTATACTTGAGACTGCTGAGCCAGTGCCAAGAGCACAGAGCTCTCCAGACCAAGCGGTTCTCAAACTGAGGTCCTCAAATGTTCTTGGACTGCAAACTCCCAGAAACCCTGGCTAGCACAGCAAGTGGCAAAGGCTTCTGGGAATTGCAGTCCAAGAACATCTGGGGATCCCCCCCAGTTTGAGAAACACTGGTCTAAATGTTCTCTGGCCAACAGATGGAGGCTGTGAAGGCCAAATTTCTACAGAGTTCAAGTTCCTTACTCTTGATGCAGAGAGAGAAAGGTAAGGAGAGAAATAAATGCAGGAAACGTGTCTGGAACATCGGCAAACGGCCATTTAATGACCCGCTTGTTCAGCACAGGCAAGCAGAACATCCATGTGAGTGAGAGTGTACCTCCCACTCCCTATAAAAATCTTCCAAGACAGAAAGGCTGACAGCCAGGGACGGACCCCAGTTCATTCGATTTAGCTTCATGGTCCAGGGGAGATTCAAACATCCATCTCGGAAACCCAAATGCAAGAGACGGACTACCCTTCCCCAAACTCTCTAGATGTTTTGTGTTACTGATCTGTTTTCACCTGCAAACTGGTTTACAGGTTTTTTTTTTCACATGGGAACTGCAACACGGTGTTGCAATATGGAATGTCTGGTTTCATTTCAATCACTTTTCCCTCTCCCCCAACATCCCGCAGTCTGTATCGCTTAGAAATGGGAAGGCTTTTTTTTTGGGGGGGGGGGAGGTAAGAACATTGGGGGCAAAAAGGGTTTTTTTTCCATTTTTTTCCCCAAGACCATTTTATAGGGCTTCAAAATTTCTGGAAATTTTTACATCTCTCATATTCTCTTGACCATGTTTAGCCCTCACTTTGGGAGGGAGTGTCCCTGGATGCAAGGACGTGAATCCTTCTACACGTTTCGAGACTGTGTGTATTTCATTGCTGAAAACCTCATGCCTTCCCTCGAGGGCACTCATGCTTATATCTTGCGATGGGTCAGGCCGTTTTTGGCGACCGAACCCAAGTGAAAGCACAAGATGGTACTGCTGACCTTTGTAACCAAACTGGGCAGAAAACACGGCAGCCCCAGAGCCCTTCCCTAGCAGTAGCCGTAGAAGGGGTCGCCCCACGTTTAAAGTGCCACCCTGTTTTTGTCTTTTGTTTACTCTTTATTTATTTTTTCAGCTCTAAGCCGGCAATTATAAAAACTTAATTTATTTTTTATTTACTCTTTAGATCTCACACATTTCTTTTTCCTCTCCATTTCTGACACACACACCCCAAATAATTTTGTTTAATTAATAAGAATAATGGGGAAAGGCAGCCAATGGGTATCCTGCCTTCCCACCCTTATTACCTTCTCTTCCACCTCCAGGCGGTAGGGTGTGGGCTGGATCCTTCTCCGCGGCTTCCAGCTCACGTCGGGCACGACGAAGGTCGGGATGCCCAAAGCCCCCGAGAAGGCGAAGCCCCAGACGAAGAGCCGGTCCTTCCTCTTGGGGTGGCTCCCCACGTACTGGAAGACGGGGGCCTCCTCGTCGGCTTTCCTGAGGTCCCTGGTGGTCCTTCTCCCGGCGGCTTTGGCCAGGCCTCTGGGGAGCCCCCCGGGTGGAAGCCTTGGGGCCGGGCAACCGGGACCCCCGGGACGATCGCCCTGCTGGAGGCCGAGGGTCTCCTTGGATCGGCCCCAAAGGAAGCCCCCCATCTCCCGGGGGAGCCCCAGCAAGGCCGGCCAGGGGCCCCTCCGTAGCCGTGGGAACATCAGCTTCGCCTGGCGGGAGCCCCAGAGGGACCTCGCGCGGGCTGGAAGCGGCCCTCCATCCAGCCCCATCGCAGACCTTTCGGTCTAGCGAGACAATAATAAAAAATAATACGAATTGTTGATCTTCTTTCGGATCACCCCTCTGCCAAACACGACCGCAGCGCCGCGCTCATGGGCGCCGCCATCTTGTTCCCCTTTCACCTTCCTTCTGATCTGCGCATGGGCAGCTCCTGTTAGCCCGGGGCGGCCATGACACCAGAGGCCAAGGCCGCGGCGTGCCTCGTCTGCGCAAGCGCGGCGCCGGCCCGTTCACGGCGGACCGCCGTAAAAACTCGTTCGGCGCAGGCGCACAGGCCGATATTCCACCTTTGAGGCTTTTTCAGTGCTCAGTCATCCCATGATCTCCCCCCAGAGCCATCCATGCCTATAGGGGTTGAAGGGGGATTCTGGGTCTTGTAGTCTCCAAATGTAACTTTTCTACACTCTGCCCAAATAAGCATCTCTTTAAAAATATATATTAATTTTCAACAACAACAACAAATATACAAAACACTACTGACACGTCAATTTAAAAAGAATGAACAAAACTATATGAGTATCTGATTCCCTCCAATGGGAAGCAAAAATCAGCCTTGGAGAAGTGTTGGCATGGACTTTGTGCTTGGAATAGACCCCCATGGGTGGGTCGTGGGTCCCACCCATGGGGGGGGGGGCTATTCCAAGCAGATAGGACAAAAACCTATCATAATTGATGAGAAATTTTGCTTTGTCTTTTTCTTAAAAATATTTGTATTTCCAAGGCCCAATATCAGAATTAAACTCTAGGGGGAAGCAGAGAGTGACTCCCTGAATTTTCCTGACCCATTTGAGAGAGGAGACAAAAACCTATCATAATTGATGAGAAATTTTGCTTTGTCTTTTTCTTTAAAAAATTGTATTTCCAAGGCGCAATATCAGAATTGAACTCTAGGGGGAAGCAGAGAGTGATTCTGAATTTTCCTGACCCATTTGAGAGAGGAACGCAATGTAGGGAAAGGGCACAAAGCGATAACATCCGTGTGCTTTTGGAGCATGGATAACAGCAGCCTGGCTAGCTGAGAAATATGGTGGTTCTGTGGTCACCGAATCCACATGGCCGTTCCATTTTCATGACAACTTGTCCTAATGTGTATGTGTGTGCTTTTTAAAAATAAAAAAGTCACCATCCGCTGACATCCGCCTTAGGACTTTCCCCAACTTCCACAAAAAGGAAGCATTTGTGTCCTTGAGGGACAGTTCAGAACAGCAAAATGATTCACTCCAGGTCAGATGGCCCAGAAAATCCAGCCAGCTAAGTAGGACGAGAAACCACTGTCATATCATGCTGGTTTGAGTCTTAAGAAGGGAAACCTAGTTCCTTCTTTATCCATTTTTATAATTATATGTTTTTTTAAAAAAAAAAAATCTGAGCACATGCTATATCAGATCAGCCCAAGGAAGAACCGGTGGGTAGGTGGGAATTGCTCTTTTGAACTGCCATTTTCCAAGTTGCTAAGCCTGGATAGTCTTCAACCTATTTGAGTTTTCAGCAACACTGAGCAGAACCCTATGGGCTCCAATCTAAGGAATTCTTACTTGGAAGCAGACGTAAATCGACACAGAATGGACTCCCTTACCTGCAGGACCATGATTCACTTGTCCACGTTCCGAAAATATTAAAAATATTAAAAGAAAAATCCCCAAAATATATATTTTAACTTTGAGGTTACGAGAACTGGCCACTAAGGGGAGACAAAGACTGAGCTACTGTATTTATCATGTTTGCTAGAGAAATACCGTATTTTTCTGTGTATAAGACGCCCCATGGATAAGATGTCCCCCACTTTTCTAAACCAAAATTAAGAAATCTAAGTGGGGCTTAACAAGTGGAGGGGAAAGCAGGGATCAAAGCCCTGCAAGAACACTTTGATCCCTGCATTACCCTCCACTTATTTTTGTTCTCTCCTCAGCTTACTTCCTCGTATAAGACAACCCTCAATTTTTAGCCTTAAGTTTTTAGACAAAAGTATAGTCTTATACACAGAAAAATACGGTATATTTCCATTATACCTTTACCATAACTGGCTAGGAGACAGAACCAGAGACATACTATATATAGCGTTCATTATTTTAATAGCATTCTAGAGTCTGCATTTTTCAGCATCTGCTCGGGGGGGCTTTGAACCGATCCCCTGCAGATATGGGGGTCCTCCAAAAAAAACAAATAGGATTGAATTCTATATTTTAAATACGCACAAGTGTGATAAACACACATTCTTTCTCTGTCTTCATCTTGTTCACCTCCAGTTCACCTCTCCCAGACAGGCCCCATGTCTTTCCTATTGTGCAAAACACATCGGATTCTGGATAAATTCTCGAGACGAAAACAGGAAAGGTTGAGCAAGCCTGGCCGTTACTTGCAGAAGCCACACACCCTTCTAGAAGCAAACATGAGCTCGTGAATGCTGATCAAATAAAGCTACCAGGAATGGAAAACGGTCGGCCGATCAGCGTGGTTGGGGGAGGCCAGGTTTCGTAGAAATGTAAACACTGTGCGATTTTTAGAAAAGGTAAAGGAGGCAAAAAAAGAGAGAGGGAGAGGGAGAGGGAGGAAGCCCCCGAAAGGATCCAGCATGCTGTGCAAACAAAGGAAGCCCCCAAAAGGATCCAGCATGCTGTGCAAACAAAGATAGGGTGGATGGATGGAGTAGTGTTAAGAAGTGATGCTCCGCTGCAACATTTCATTGCAGATTCCAAAGGATTGATCATTTGCCAGCTTCTGTGGGTAGTGGTCTTAATAGAAACCCTTAGGGGCTTTATGTGAGATATATTTTACTTTTTAAAAAAAAAATCATACTTGGGGAAACAGTCGTTACAAAGAAACTTAAAAGATGAGTTTCAACACGCTATCAACTTCTTTATTCTTTTTTATTTGTTGGTGTACTCGTGACAGAGATATATTAAAAACTTGGATATAAACCGTGGTACCGTTTGTCGAAAACATAACAGCTTATAAAACAACCTATCTTATACACCGGTTATAGGACTGAAAGTGAGTATTAGCACAATCCTAACTTCATATCATTAAAAAAAAAAAATACAAGCACACACATGCACTCCTGACATTAGCTTTATAGGATCAGACCAGTCACGTCTACAAGGCCTGATTTGTTCTGAACAGCATCAGTGACCCTGATGATCAAGACACGTTCAAGACGCTCACAAAATAAAACCCGCAAGGAGGCAAATTATACTTCCATACTATTTATGCAACCTTTCGGGTTCTCCAGAACACTTCATCAGGCTGAGATCTGTATTACTACTGAATGGTGAGGGTAGAAGAAGCACAGGAAAACGAAGCTATGGCTAGATAGGTCAAGACCCAGCAGATCGGGGGATCTCAAGATGGAGAAAACAGTCTTGAGACATTTTCAAAAGTGTGCAGGCTTCAGAGTACAATCAGCTCTTCCTGCTTGGGGGGGTACATCTGGGGTCTCCTTTTCTGGAAACACAACGGTAGCATAGCTCAGGGATTTTTAAATTTTATTTATTTATTTATTTGCCCAGGGCCCATGTTGGGAAAAGGTAGCCCTCCAGAGGTTGTTAAACTACAACTCCCATAAGCCCTTGCCACCCACATGCTCATTAGGCCTGATGGTTGTTACAGCCCAATCACATTTGAAAAATTTGTCCCTCCTTACAGAACTCACAGATTTCTAACATCCACAAACAGCCTGGGACTGGATTGATCCAGCTGGACATTTAGACCCATGGGACATCATTAAAGCCAGACAAGTCACTAGTCCATAAGGTTTCTTATTGCCCGGAAGAAGGAAAATAAAGCCCTCTCCAGGAGCAGCCCAAGGCGCCCAGTCAAATGTTGCCAATCTCGTGTTGACTCATCTTTCCAAGGCATGCATGCGCACCATGTGGGCGACTGCCAGAAATCCAGACAGAGATGTCTTCACTTGATTTTGCTCTTGGTAGACTCTGAGCAGCGGTTCAGAATCAAGTCCTTACTGGGTCTTGGAGGAACGGCCGGCTGAGCGTTGTTCTGTTTCCTCTCCATCTCATTCTTCTCCACTACAAAATGGGAGAGAATAATGTAGAGACACAATTACTAGTCATCACGGGTAGTCCAGAAGAGGACACAACGTGAGGGAAACCTCAGGAGAAATCTTGGTGGTTTCAGATGGAATTCACAACAAAGCAACACAACTCATGGGGCACACACACCCTTCTCCAAACAAGAGCCCTCGGGAAGTCCCGGTAGAACATGGGAGGAAGTGAATCTTTGAGGTTTCAGGGTTTTTTTTCTTAGCGCAATCTGGCAACCCCTGGGATTTCCGAGGGATTCCCCATCCAAGTTTTAACCAGCCCAGACCTTGCTTAGCTTCCAAAATCAGACACGATCGGGTGCATTCAGGGCAGAACTTACCAATAGTGCTCTTTTTGTTCAGGAAGTTGCCTCTGAGCATTTTCCTGCTCTGCACATATTTCACGCTGTTTCGTCTGTAGGTCTCTTGGCTGATCTGCTTGCGGTTTTGGTTGTGCATGCTCTTGATGTTTTGGATCGTGCCCCTGCCAGATTTGTAAAGAAAAGGGGATTTATTTGGTGCCTCCGATCTCGACATCCTGCACCAAGGGGGTTCCTAGGGATCCTACAGAAAGAAACTCCAGGCTCATGCAGGTGGGGTCCCTGCTCTGGATTTCTGTCTGAACTCGACCTGATCTGTTTGTGGTGCTGTATTCTAGCCCTAGTAGAGTTTCAGCACCCTGGACAGCTCCTTTAAAGTTCACATGTAAAAAGCTGGCACCGATTCCTTTACCCTGTGATCATGGAACCCCCCCTGTCTCCACTGAAAGGTACTGATTTTTTCCCCTTCTTGCTTGGAGGAATGTTCCCCCAAAGCAGATAAATCTAGTTATCTCAACCAACTATCAATCCCAGGAGTTTTCAGGACAAAGCCATGACCCTTAAGGCGACATCAAACTGCTGCAAAAACATAGTGCGGATCCATGCTTAGCTCTCCACGGAAAATGCAGGGAAACAGAGTCTGTTGATGGGCTTCCTAGTTATTTATCAGCAATTCCCTACGTCTTTAGACAGAACTATAATTGAGAGGACACTCCTACAGAGCACGTTACCATAGTCTCTCTGAAGGATGCCTAACCTAACAATTTCAGAAAACCCCTGTGGAGAGTGTCAGGAATGTCAGACACTATCCTCTGCTGATCTATTGTGGAGAGTGAGTGGTTATTAATCAAGAATGTCAGACACTATCCTCTGCTGATCTATATAATCTGGTATTATCCAGTGACATTTCAGGGTTTCAGAAGGAATTTTTCCCCCAAAGACTGCTTTGAACATTCTTGGTGGGTCAAGCATCCAAAAACCAAGTGATCCTACTTAACCTCGAAAATCAGTGAGATCAATGTGTTCACATTGAGAGGGTGACCAGCCATATACGTTTGCTGTAGATAGGCTTTTAATGATCAGTTAAGAAAGCTGATAGGGAAGAAAAACTGAGTTGTTGGTGCTGGAGGAGAGCTTTGAAGATACCCTGGACTGCCAGAAAGACAAACACGGGGGTCCTAGATCAAATCAAGGCTGAACTCTCTCTGGAGGTAACAATGATCAAACTGACAAGCTGTCCTTCTTTGGGCACATCATGAGAAGACAGGATTCGCTCGAAGAGACAATAATGCTAGGAAAGGTGGAAGGCAACAGGAGAAGAGGAAGACTAGATACAAGATAGACTGACTCAGAAGGGTTGTTAATGACAGGACATATTGGAGGGCACTCATTCATAGTGTCATTCATACATCAAGGGCAACTTGACTGCATATAGCAACAACAACAGTGACACACACGCATCTCCCTACCTTCGAGGTGGGGCAGCTTTGTTCCTCAACTGATAGCTCTCCGGAGTGTTTTCCGCTCCCATCTTCTGCAGATACATGGATGGGTAGTAGCCTGTGATTTCATCCTTCCTGGGTTTTAAAAAAATCAATATATTTTTATTTGACTTGTAAAACAGAAAAGAAGGGGCGGAAGAGGCTGATGCTACACACATGGCCTTGATTGCTCATATAGACTTGGTTCGTTTTCCAAAAAAAAAAAAGTGTGAAGTCTGCAGACCAAATACAAGTCTTGATTTCTTTATCGAAAAGATGGGCAACCTGCCTTTTAGAGTAAGCCTTCCATGGTAGCATACAACTGAAACACAAACAACATACTACTGAAAAAAAGAAGAAAAATGAACAGTTGAACCTAACCAGCAAAGGAGAAGAGAAGTAACAGGTCAAAATAACACAGACCCAAATGAGATGATACAGTTAGCACTAGCGCTTTCTTAAGAGCTAAAAGAGAGCTCCTTCTCCTTAGAAAAGCTGGTGTCACACTGTGTGCTGCAAATGATCATGGTTCTGATTTCTCATTGGTCATTGGGAAGTAAATGTGGCCTTTGTTTAGCTGTTTTATGGCATGGGAATGGAGCTTTGAAGGGATTGCGTGTCTGGAGGGAAAACCTTATCATAGCAGAAAATACACATTCCCCTTGATGTTTGATTTAAGCCACAATTATCTGTAATGAGTAATATTTGGGGGAGAGGCATCAAGGCTTATTCAATTCTCTTTATGCAAGATCCAATCAGCCATGAGATCCTAACCAACGTATCATTAGAAGAGGCTATTTCCTACATGCTAAAAAAATCTGATTGGCACAGGGCAAGTAGCCCATTGCTCCCACAGTCAACTCATAAGCATTCTTTGTTTTCTGACAGGTCTTGGGGAGGGGCCTTCTTTTGAAAGCATCATTGGCCAGTTAAGAAAGCTTCCTCCATCACATCTCTCGAATGTCAATGTTTTCTCTTTCCTAACTAGGTCTCCTCTGCAATGTATAGTTTTGGTGTTTTTAGGGAAGCTTCCACAGTTGAGTGAGGACTCACCGGACAACCCACCATCCATCGAGAAGTTTATGGATCACTTCAATGGTTTCCCCTTCCTTCAGCGTGATCTCATCTTCCTGGGCAGCCGTGTAGCCTTTCCGGACCACGTGGAGTTCACCTGAGCGAAGAAGAGACGTTGAGTTGGCCAAGTTGAGTTGGCCAAGCGTTGAACATGCCTCTAGGACATTTCACAACGGCTCGGACTCAGCCAATAAGGGCTTGCTTTACTAGTCTCATGGCTCGGGCATGGAGCTTTGAAGGACTTGCTCTTTGGATTTTATAATTTCCCTTCTATTCTAATCCAGTGAGCTGTGCCCTGAATCTTTGTCCATCTGAGGGATGGGCACAGTGCAGTCTCTTGGATGTCTGACTCCTCGTTCCAGCCTTTCCCCCATGGCTGATGGGAATGGTTACTCCAGAAAAACATGGAGGTCTGCCCTTGGTTGGACTATTAGTCCCATCAGCGGTTTATATGACTTGACCTAATCGTTAACAAAGACCTGGGCATCAAGGGAACCAAGGAGAGAAAGGTGTCTTACCAGCGTAGTTGGGTTCCTGCTCTTCTGATTCATCGGGACCATCCGTAGGTTCTAGGTAAACAGCTGGGACCCAACCTCGCTTGTTCTTTTGTTGACAGAACCACCAGCCTGGGAAGGAAGGGAACACATCCTTACAAAGTTAGAAGACATTGTCTGCATCTAATTTTCATTAACAAGGCCGAGCTTGGGGGGAAAAATTGCTTTTACGATCTATAACTCCCAGAATTCTCTACCAACCCTGGCCACATTGGTGAAATATTTCTAGGAGACACAACCCCAAAAATATTACATTTCCAATCTCTGCAAGAGACATATTTCTCACAACCTTCCAGCTACCATGGAAGCCACCTCCACTGCTTTTGTTGTTAGGATGATCAGCATCGTAATTAAACGAATCCATGCCTATTTAGAAAAACGGTGCGCAGGAAGCCCCCAGATGTGCCCTCGGCTCCTTGTGACAACGTTCTAACCCCAGAAGATTACTCACAGTGCTGTGTTTTAGTTTCAATCCTGTGTTTTATTTTTAATGTGTGTTTGTAAATCATAATAGGATTCAATTTAGATCTTAGTATTTTGGGGGAAATTTAGAATACCGCGCCGGTTTTCCCTTCTTATCACGGTAATTTCTTTCAGTCCCCATAACATCTGCTTCCTGTCGTTAAACCACAAGAGGCGATTTCTGGTTATGCTTTAAAAAGTCCACATACACCTTGCCCCCCCCATATAATTTTGTGCCATCAACTCAGATCCAACTTATGGCAAGCCTTGAGGGGGGGGTTCCAGGTAGAGAATACTCAGAAGTGGTTTCCCCTTCTTCTGGGGGTTCCCTGGGATCACTGTGCAGCTTGCCCAAGGCGACCCAGGCTGGCTCTTTTTCCCCAGGAGGCCCTGTAGGGAAACATTTGGCTCTCACTAACTCACTGAGTTAGTTATCCAGCCAGCTCACCCTCCGTATATGACTCCCAAATTTATTTTTTTTCTGCCCCGCCAGTGGTTTCAGTGTATACTCTTCCCTAATTTCCCCCCTAAACCACTTAAAAATATATAGAGAAAGAAACTGGAAACTAGAATCTACCCACCTAGCTGTATAGACCTTTTTTCCCCCCTGGCTTTCTGGGAGATACGTATTTTGGAAGCTGGTAATCCGGGGCAGAAATTTCCCTTCTGGACTCCTGAAGCTTGCCTGCTTTTGTTTTAAGCCCTGCATTCTCTTCTGTTGATGAAATTAGCTGAAGTCCTGGACTCTCTGGCCTGGCATTAAGCCCAGCCTTACCCACAACCGGAGAGAAAAATAAACTTTCTCGGCTTACCACTCTCGCTTTTCTCTATAACATCCACGACATCTCCCACCTTCATGCTCATCTCGGTCTTAGAGTTCTTCTCGTAATCCGCAACAGCACGATACGTCTGTAGGATGATGGGGCCAGTGATATCTGTGAGAGGAGAAACAGCCGTGAGTAGGGGGCTCCCGCCAAAGACACGCGTGGGCCTGGGCGTTACCCCCGAACTGAGTCCCAGGTTCTGTTTTGTGTCAAAGAAACAAACTAATTTTCCCAAATGGCATAAGAGGAGGGGAAGGTTTTTCCATTTCTGGCCTCCTACCTTCTGCAATCCTGTTGGCATCCTTGGGCATTAAATAGGTTTCTGGTTTCTTGACTCTGGGAAGAGAAAATGGGGGGGGGCAGTCAGGTCTTTCTTGCAAGTTTCAAACCCCCAATAAGGAACGTCAGGCAAACACTTCAAGCTTATCCATGCCGATACGTAGGTAGGTAGGTAGGTAGGTAGGTAGGTAGGTAGGTAGGTAGGTAGGTAGGTAGGTAGGTAGGTAGGTAGGTAGGTAGGTAGGTAGGTAGGTAGGTAGGTAGGTAGGTAGTAGAGGGACGGACGGATGGACGGACGGACAGAGACGGCCGGACTGTCCGTTGGGTGGGTGGGCAGGCGGACGGATGGACGGACAGACAGACGGATGGCCGGATGGACGGACGGACAGAGACAGCCGGACCGGCCGGTGGGCAGGTGGGCAGGCGGACGGACGGACGGACAGACAGACGGATGGATGTTTTCAATACATCTATAAGTACTCCTGCACTGAGCAGTGGGTTGGACTTGATGGCCTTGTCGGCCCCCTTCCAACTTCACTTTTCAATGTTTTCTATGATCCAGTGCCCTTCCCGTACTCACTGGCCAGCCGTAGGTGGATTCAGATCATCAGGTCTGACTTTGAAGAAGTTCAGGACGTGTTCACACCGAGAGATTTTGCGGGGCAAGTTGATCAAGGCGGAGGAATACTCGGACAGCGTGATTTGCCTGTTCTGGGTAGACCGCTGGCTATCAAACCACTTTGGGGCTGGAGCAGAGGGAAAGGAAAGAAAGAAACATAGAAAACTGCTTAATTCGGAAGGAAGGAAGGAAGGAAGGAAGGAAGGAAGGAAGGATGGATCCTCCTGATTTTTTAAAACACACAGAGACCACAATCCTAAAACCCTGTATTCAAGCCACATCTGGATCTACCCAGCTTCCCTTTTCAATGGGGCTACAGCAAGCAGTTGGGTTAGACAAGGATCACAGGAGCAACCCAGTAGACAGAATTTCTAAGCCATCTGTTTTAGCCTTGGTACAGCCTTTCTGATGGCCTCTTATGATCTTGAAGTCCCTGAGTCGAATCTCACCATAAATGCCACTTCCCTTTCATCCTCAGCACACCCTGATTGGCCAAAAGGAGGCACAAATGCTAGCGAATAGAGTTACAATATATTCTCAAAGGAATAGAGTTACAGCCGCTAGAGGGACCAATGAGGAGGCAGGAGGCCTGGGTTCGAATCCCCACTCACGTCCTCAGCACACCCTGATCTGCCAAAAGGAGGCACAAATGCTAGCAAATAGAGTTACAATATACTGTATTCTCAAAGGAATAGAGTTACAGCCACTAGACTGAGGGACCAACGAGGAGGCAGGAGCCCTGGGTTCGAATCCCCACTCAGCCATGGAAGCTCACTGGGGGGGCGGAGCAGAACCGGTACAGTTGCTCCTTAACTATCTCACTTCCCTGGAAAACCCTGTTAGGGTCTCTATAAGTCGGTTTTGACTTGACGGCACAGAACACAACCATGTTAACCTACCTCGCAGGCAACTAAGTCTCCTAACATGTTTTGCAATGCGATTGTTGGCCAGAAATGAATGCCTTAAAACGGTCATCATCCCCAAATCACCTATTAAAATGCAGCGTGAAAGAGCAGCCTGACTTCTGTTGGCATACTTAAGTTGCACTTGAGTAGGCCCATTGAATGACTGGGGATCGGTTTGAGTCGATGCCTCCAGAAGCTTCATCGATTCCAACGGGGCCTCCTCCAACTCATTTGAGCAGGGTGAAAGTCAGCAACCTCTTTCGGGCCAGCCTCAGTTTTATAAGAAGAACAAACGAGGAGGTGGAGGACAGCGCAAGCATCTGTACGGCGTTTGGTCCGTTTGTGGACAGGGTGGGCAGGTGAAGAAACGTTGTTAAAACAAGCGCAGTAACGTTGCCTTTAAAGCAAACAGTGGATTGGCTATCTTTCCTTCTCTTGGTTATCGGAAAGCGATGGCTTGCAGACATTTGTTCTTAGACACTTCCTCCTAAAACCCTGCTTTCGTTTCTCCAGGGAAACAATTTTGTTTTTTGTTCCCTTGGGCCAGCCAGGAAAGGCTGGCCACAAAGGATGTGTGCCTCCGTTTTGACCTTCCGCGCCCTTGCACCCCGAGTACTCATCCTTAGAGACTCTTGTACTCAAGTCTAGCTGGAAAACAGAGACTTTCCTTCCTTAGCCGTTTCTAGGCGACTAAAGAAATTGAGAATCCCTGTCACGTAATTAAGTAAGGAACACGTTTCCTCCAGCAAGCCGGGGATTCATTTTACTGACCCAGGGAGGACAAAAGGCTGAGTCGGCTTCGGGCCAGCAACGTGGCCCCCGTTGGGAGCCAACTCAGGTTGCGAGCAGAGTCTCAACCGCAGTAGTGCAGTTTAACCAATGTCCCACGAGGCGTGAGAGAAATCAAGACCATCGTAAACATCTGTGTCGATCGCAAGGCCAGGTGTAATTGAGCAGTCCTCTCGCTCCCGTGAGAAATTTTTTTGGGGGGGAGGGAAGAAAATGAATCCTTTGGGATTCTGGGAGCAATAGTGTAGGAAAGTAAACATTTCTTGTCTCTGGCCTGCCTCCAATACACCGCTGGGGGGGCCTGACCCATAGGTTTACCGGCTCTGCAGCTTCCCAGCTGGGACGTTTTAAAACCTGAGGCTGAGAGAGATGGGAAGGAGGAATCCTGTAGTTCTACCAGACTGGATCTTTGCCTAGGAGCAGGGTTGCAGAAAAACTTAATATGGGTGAATCTGCGCACGAGCGAGCAAGAATGGGAAATCAACATGGATTCCCTGCAGGACCCTGCTACCCACCCCCAATGTATGTGGGCAACAGTGAATCCTGAATCCGGGATAGGAGATCATCATCCTGACATGGAAGTCACTAGACACAGTAAGACTGAATTTCCTCTTCTTCCAGTGCCACCCGTCCAATTAGATTTCAGTTCCTGGCTGGCAACCAACAGATGCACCAGACCCTGATTTTTCTGCCCGCAACCCAAAACTCGACAATGCTACTAGGCGTTGCCCACAAGCGGCCGCTGGGTTCACCAGGCAGAAAAGCGGCGATTTTCAGTTCCTCCAACTTGCGATACTGGGTTCCCAGAACACCCGTCTGAGCAAAGCAAAATTTCATAAACCCCCTTCTCTCTCTCTCTCTCTCTCTCTCTCTCTCTCTCATTCTCTCTCCCACACGCTGGCCACCCGAAGAAGCAGCAGCTTGGCGTGGACCCCAAACCGTAAACAACTCCGTACCCTAGATAGATTCGGATCACTCATTTCCCAGGGTTGATTGTCAATCAGAGGACATTGGGCTGAATAATTTAAAAACATTTAAGGCAAGGGGCCGAAGAGAGAATTCTTTCCAGCACACGAAGAATGCCTGAATTCTCAGATTGGAAACAGGCTTTTTTATCATTCTTCAACACGTATAATTAACTGTGGATTGTGGGATTTTTAGTGCAAAGGCGATGAGGATGATGAAAATATTAACTGACCGAAGCTCGACTAATTTAGTGTTTGATTTTATTGACCGGTTTCAATATAATACTTGTTTAATTCTTGTCTAATATTTGTATACTCACTCTTTTTAGCCTTTAAATATTTAATATAATACTCGTTCCATTCTTTTTAAATATTTGTACACTCACTCTTTTTCGCTTTTAAATATTTAACATAACACTTATTCAGTTCTTCTAAAATATTGGTACACTCAACTGTTTTTAGCTTTTAAATCATTGTCTTTTTAATTATGTCAGCCGCCTGGGGTCGTTTTAAGGGGAAAGCTGGGGTAAAAATGTTTTAAATAAATAAATTCACCTTGACAAAGTACCGATTACTGTATCTAACCATGAGATCTAAGGCAGCGCAGGCAGAGGGCATAAATGTCTAGCTGGTACCTAAATCTACTGATGGGTCTTAGGAAAACAAATGGGTAAACATTTTATTTTATTTCATTTCATTTTTGAAAGAATAGACATTCCTCCTCATCCTTTTTCATGGGTGGTGGTGGGGTGGTTTGCTGCAGCAACCATTGTCCCTTCCCCCAGGTACCAAAACCACTGGTTACAGCTCAGAGCGAGCCCCTTACCTGGCAAATGTGGGATGATCCTGTTCTCCACATTAATTTCCCCGGATTCAATTGGGAACATTTCCTTCAAAGCTTTCTGGTGAGAGAAGAGGAAGTTTTAGAATATGGCTGGAAACCTGGACATCCATAAACCCCTGGTTGTCGGGAACGCTGCTAAACAAGAGTTTCCACATGCTCCATCTCTATTCTGTTTGTGATGAGTTTAAAGCAGAGAGCTTGGCTTCTCACGGCGCCAGTGGACTCAGCGAGGCTGCAGGACTGTGGCCAACACACAGGTTCACTCCGGGCCACCGCCCAGCAGCAGGGGATTTGAACTCAGGTCTTTGGAGTCTTACTAGTTCAGTCTTCTCAACCCAACCTGCCACCATCTCAAATTGAACAGAGAGACCCTTCTGCATTGCTCTGTAGAGGACGAGGAAAACGTTTTCCCGGTTCCGATTCTACCAGCCGGGAAGCGGCCCGAGAGCCTTTCAGAAAGAACGGGTCGGTGGCTTCCTTTGGCTTGTTCAGGCTGATCTTCGCTCTGTAGAGGGTGAAGAAGACGTTTCCCCAGTTCCGATTCTACCAGCCGGGAAGCGACCCGAGAGCCTTTCAGAAAGAACGGGTCAGTGGCTTCCTTTGGCTACACACACACACACACACACACTCCCCCCCCTCAAATAAAATTAGCTAACAAATATGCCTTTTCCTCTCCATAATGAATTGTTCCTCAGAATAGTGGCCTCCAAGCAGCGCAGAAAAAAGTGACTGGGGGGAAAATGACCTTCTGCTGTGAAGTTGTCACATTCCAGCAGATACTTGAGTGCCAGTGACAGACTGTGTAACAAGGATGCTGCATGGGTGTGTTTGTAGTCCTGTTGCTAGCTTGTTAATTTATTTAGTGCAGTGGTGCAGAGGAGAAAATCTGGAGCAGAAGCAGTGGTGGTGGATGAGCCAGGAGGAGACAGACAGACAGACAGATATATATACACATACACATATGTATATATGCATACACATATACAGTGCGTGTGTACACACACATACTATATACATTTTGTGTGTTTGCATAGTATATAGTATATATACTACACACACACACACAAGCTAAGGGCCCTGAAGAGAAAGGCGCCAGTGAGAATATGACATGTTTCTTAAACACATGAAGTTGAGATGATGATGATGTCACCTTTCCTTACCAGTACATATGCATACACATATACAGTGTGTGTACACACACATACTATATACATTGTGTGTGTGTGTTTGTGTAATATATAGTATATATAGTACACACACAAAAGCTAAGGGCCCTAAAGAGAAAGGCGCCAGTGAGAATATGACACGTTTCTTAAACACATGAATTTGAGATGATGATGATGATGTCACCTTTCCTTACCAGTCTCCCTAAAACATGGCTAAATCGAGATATTACTAATTCAGTGGCCAGCTTTCTCAATCTGGGTTGCCTTGGGTTTTGCAAGAGGGAAAACCCGGTAACGCTGAAGTTCATCAGACCGTTCTTTCCGGAAAGGGCAGCTGAAACGGCCCAGGCTGCAGCCTTTCCCCCCTTTGAAAACAACAACAACAACAACCAACCAGTCGATGCCTTGGATCTGGGGGGTCATTTGACCTCTTAGAAGCCTGCAGAATGGTGTCTTGTGGATTCCGATGCCTGGAATTCCTCAAGCTTGCAGAATTCTGAGAGCTGTCAGTTATGTATTCCTTCCTCAGTTATGTATTCCTTCCTCAGTTACGTATTCCTTCCTCAGTTACGTGAAAACAACAACAACAACAACCAACCAGTCGATGCCTTGGATCTGGGGGGTCATTTGACCTCTTAGAAGCCTGCAGAATGGTGTCTTGTGGATTCCGATGCCTGGAATTCCTCAAGCTTGCAGAATTCTGAGAGCGGTCAGTTACGTATTCCTTCCTCAGTTACGTATTCCTTCCTCAGTTACGTATTCATTCCCATGGCTCACCAAAGGTAACATCAGCCCTGTGAGGTAGAGCAGGCAGAGGCACAGGAGCAGGCCCCCGGCCAACCAAAGCACACTGTGGTTGCCTAGGGCCTTGAAGGAAGATGACACTACCTATTTCCAAAAGGATATTGACTTTTTTTCATTTCTTTTTTAAGCCAGGGGGCTTTTTAGACAGACTCAGACTTCTGCCGTTCTCGATGGGGAAGTTATAAATGCTGCTCTCGCCTCAGAACTTGAGATGTTACTGTTCTCCTCCCACCCGACACTTGAATCTAATCTAGATTCATTTTACTACCATTTACAGTTAAATCAATTTTTGCCCATCAGGTGTCGGACCTCTTTAAGAGCATTATGCCCATGCTGTGCGTTCGTCCAAGAGAGTGCGTTGAACTCGTTGGGACCAACTTTTGTGTTAAAACGACTGCCACAGAAAGGCATCTTATCGGAGACGGGAAGAGTTACTTTTTGTTATTATTGTTGTTGTTGTTAAATGACAACCTTGAGGATTATGGGAATTGTAACTATTGTGGTTGTTCAAAAAGTAATTTTTCCGATCTCTGGGTTTTACTCGTTCCTCACGACGCAGGATCGTACCCTCCGCCGAATGGCACGTCAGTGGCACAGAACCAACGCTGACTTACGTGGAACTCGTAAATCTCGGTGAATTTCCGATACACCACCTTTTCCGTGAGATCTTGCCATTTCACCAGGAACATGTAGACCTGAGAACGACAGCACGTGAGTTAGCGATGATCGGTGGCAGAGGCTTAAAAGTGACTTCCCTCCCCCTGGCTCAGCATTTCTCCCATTCACATCAATCGCCTCGTAGGAATGGGGTTTTGTTGATCCAGGACACGGGTGGCGTTGTTTACGGAGATGTGTGTATGGTTTCCCTGAATATTGTTGGGTTCCATCTTGCCATACTATTGATCCAGGACATGGGTGGCGGGAGATAAGAGATGTGTGTATGGTTTCCCCGAATATTGTTGGGTTCCATCTTGCCATACTCTCAGGCCAATACAGCAACATCATTACCCATATTCCCCTGGCCTGCTTCAGCGTTTGCTTCTTACATGTTGTTTCCGTCTTTCTTACATGCATGCCTCAGTTTCCTTCAAAGTTCTTCTCCTCTTTACTTGAGCCTCTTAACAACATCCCTGCGAGGTAGGTCAGACTCAGAACGTGTGTGCCTTGTACGGTTGGGGCTGTGCATTATTTGATGCTGCTTCAGAATTTGGGGGGGGGGGGGAACCAGTCCTGCAAACTCTAGATCATTCCAGTGAGTTTATGCTATAGAATAGGATCCTGTTCCAGCACGATCCAAAAAAATCATCCACGGCTCTCAAGATTCTCAGTAAACAGTTATTCCCCATCCTCTGTTACCTGATTCTGTTAATCAATGTTAAAGCTGGAAACTCCCGATTGTGAAGTCGCTTTGCTATCGGGGTGTAGTAATTCTTGTCGAGCAAGGATGATGAAGTCACCCACCACTCCCTTCAAACTTCCCTATTCCCTCCGAGTTTAGCTGCAACCCTCACACAAGCGGAGGGAGAAATGAAATTTTCCCAGGGACACAATACTTCTGAAAACTATCCTTGCTTTAACAGAGAGGCTGGTCTGAATAGGCAGTTAGGAGCTGTTACCTTTACAAAATATCTGCTCCTTATTTGTCAATATGGGTCCATTGAACTCCTTCCCGTTCACGATTCTCTTTGGTGACAGTGGCCATGGCAAGTCAGTATGAGTGTCTACCATTCCATTTTTACAGCCACACCATTGTTGAGCACTGAGCGAACCCCCGCCTCCCTATAGCCCAAAATACAAGCTTAAAAAAAAAACATACTATATCTGAAAGCAGCACACTTCCATTTTTTAAGAAGCTTTAAAGCAGAGGATAGCTACCATGTATTTGTTAATTACATTTATACCCCACTTTCGCTCCCGTTGGGATCAGGGCTGTACAGATGGCTCTTCTCTTCACCACTTTCCTTTCGCAACCATGGTGTGTGATAAACCAGATGGAATGAGAATTATTGGACTAAGGGTAGCCCCTGGGTTTTCAAAACTGAAGGGGTGTGTGTGACTTGAACCTGAATCTCCCAATTCTCTCAGTTCAACCCTCTGGTTCTCAAAGGACGTGAAGCTGCTTCTAGAAACAAGTTATTTTCATCACTAGCAGCAGATCACCAATGTTCGCAGGGGGACTGGATTAGATGGTCTTTAAGTGCCCGTCCACTTCTAAAGTCACCGATGGAACGATTTTCAGCCCCAAGAATGCTGAGATCATTTCCCCCTTGGTCTTTGGTGATAGAGGGAGGCACAAAATAATAATAATAACTTGGAGGTTCCCCAAGCGGCACATGGGCTATGGATTAGTTCCCACCTCAGTACTGACACCACACTTTAAGAAGGATGCCAACCAACTGGAGCAACTTCAGAGGAGGGCAACCAAGATGATGATCAGGGGACTGGAAACCAAGCCCTTGGAGGAAAGACTGATAGAAATGGGCAGGTTTAGCCTTCAGAAAAAGAAGACTGGGGGGGAAGAGCATAGCGCTCTTCAAATGCTTGAAAGGTAGTCCTACAGAGAAGGAGCAGGATCGATGCATCCCCAGAGTGCAGGACATGTCATAAAGGACTCAAGCTACAGGATGTCGAATCTCAGCTGAATCTCGGGAAAAACGTCCTAATTGTTAGAGCAGTGTGATAATGGGACCCATGACCTCGGGAGGTGGTGAGCGCTCCAACGCTGGAGGTGGTCAAGAGAAAACTGGACCACCCTCTGTCCGACTGGCTTTGATTTGGATTCCTGCCTTGAGCGAGTGGTTGGACTTGATGGCCTTTAGAAGCCCCTTCTATTATTCTACGGTTCTATTAGTCTGATAGGGGTTAAAACCTCCATTCCCCCGCCGAACAAACCCAAACCAGGTACATGGGGATGGGCTCTACATCCTAGCATGAAGTTCTTGACACTTACGTAGTGTTGGCTCGGGAAGAACCTCTTCTCAAACCCAAGCAGCTCAATGTGCCTGATGTAGTCTCCCATGGTGGGTGTAGGATCTCCCTGGATGACCCTTGGCTACTCCGGGAAGCAATTAATAGCACCTCTTTCTCTCTCTCTCTCTTGCACTCAGTCTCTCTCCAGCAGCTAGGGCCAGCAAGCTGCAGTTTTTATCTTCAACAAAAGAGGAAGTCGTATTTCCCCAACAACCTGGGCTTGTTATGTAATACTTTTTTGTTTTTTGTCCTTTTCTCATCAACATCTTGAGTTTTATTTCCTGTACCTTTTGTGGCCCGGCGTGTGGAGCGGAGGCCACAAAGCCAGCAGCCTTCTTGACACCTGCTGAAGCCGGGGGGGGGGGGCGCGCCGTTTAGGTGGTTTGTTTTTTAAATCTCTAACTTAATTGGGTTTTTAATTCTATTCCTTTTAATATTGTGAGCCAACTTGAGTCTCCTCATCGGGAGAAAGGCAGCATATACATTAGCTCAACTCAACTCATCTTCCTTGGCACCCAGTGACTTGCTTAAAAACCAGCTTAAGGAACAAGATCTTTGCCTAACAGCAGAAGGACAACAAAGAATGGGCCAACTAGTTTCTTGTGGGAAGGAGTTCCACAGCCTGGGAGCAGACACCAAGGATGTGCTGTCTTGGGTCTACACCAACTCCCCCCCAGGCTGTCAATAAGGCAGGGCAACCAGAAGCTTTATCCCAAGGAACCAAAATTTGGAGGATGAGGAAATGTGGAAGTGAAGCTACTGATGAGTGTTAAACATCACCTCCACGTCCTACTAAATTCTCTTTTAAAACTTTTCTAATCATCTTCTTGGTGAGCACTACCTTCTCCTCCTTTTTTTCTTTGTGGTACGGTTGGAGCGGTGGAAGTGGTGCCACTTTCCTTAGATAGGAAGAAAAGGTCATTACGGCTCTGTCTCTTCAATCAAAAAAGAAGAGGCATGTACAAGCTCCTATTTATCTAAGCTTCTTCAACAACATCTCCCGAAGGGGTTAAAATAAAGAGGATATATTTGATGACAATTGTGGTGCTTTGTTATTGTTTTCCTCCTTCTTCCCCTATAATGGAAGAGAGCAGAGGGCGGGGGGACTTCAAACACCACGAAATCACATCATGTGGCTTCTCCAGCACACAGATGACCAAGGAGACCAGCACGAATTCTAATTGAATCATCATCAGGGCCTGTTTTGAACGGCCGTTAAAACTGAGGCTACATCCAATGTGTCTGTACGCGGGAAGTTGCCCAACCAAAAATGGGTGGATGTGATTCAACGGGATGAGCCCATTAATGTGAAAGATGTCGTCACTGCCTTTAAATAAAGCAAATATAGAAGCTGAATGTTCATTCTTTCTCCTCTGCCAGATGCGCTTTGTACTTTTCATCCTTCCAAGGAAGGACTGCGTGAGCCCTCTCAGTATCCCGACTCCTTCTTCCCATTTAGGAAATAATTCAGGAGTGAAATAAGTCCCCTTATACCTTCTAGAGGTCTGAGAGGAACTCTGCCTGTGTTTGGGGATGGGCAGAGACATAAACTTTTAAAAATTACTTTTTGGCCACCAAAGGATGCAAAGCTTTTCGTTAGAAGAAAATAATGCCGTTTTTAAACGAGATGGCATCACGGGTGCCCTTGTGGCTCTCCAAAGTCATGGGACGGGTGTGTAGACCCTGCTCTGGCTGTCCAATCCCTTCTCCAGTGGTCATCCCTGGACACAGATTTATGGAACTCACTCGAGAATGAGGATCATGAGAAATGCCGGTGGTTTTAATGCCTGGGCACCCTCTTGTCTCTTCACTCCTCCCTGCCGCTCACAGGTATTTATTTGCACGTATCATCTTGCGCACAGAGATTTCTTTCGGGGTCATGGGAGCCTTACCAATTTTTTACGGGCATGCACAAAGATTTGTAATCGTCACACAAGGGGCAGCCTTCTGACCTCCTGGGTTTTACTGAAATTGCAGGGAGGTGAGGAAGCTGGTGACTTTTTTGAGGAAAGGAAGGGCTGGTTTGTCAATTGCACCAAGCAAGAGTCACTTGGGTACATGCTAGATACAGCTCAGCTCTTTGGGGGGGGGGGGGGGATCAGAAAGAACAATTGCACCACCAATTAGAAGAAGTTCATGTTGGCTAACCTTGTGGCTCATGCAGCCCAAAGTTAGAGTAACTCAGAAGTAGAGTTGCAATGAATTCCACTGAACTTATCGCACTGAACTCCACCCTACTTACATGTGGATATGACTACAATGAGAACTGCAACCTTTGAACGAAGGAAGGCTGGGGTCAGAGATACAACCGCTAAATTGTTTATTAGTTCCATTGATTGACAGCAGACCCAACGTGGTGATGCTGATGCCAATACAAGATGGCTATTTCGCACTTACATGATATATTTTATAATAGGAAATGGATACACGGCAGGATAAGGCATGATGCAGCCTTGGGTCGTGGCAGACAGGGTGAAACAGGAGGCGTTTCAAGGACGACTCGCCCCCTTTCTCTTGGATGACCGACGTTGAGGTTTGATTTAGGGCAGAAGGAGACGGTGTTGGGCAAAAACAAAGATGTAAAGGACGTCTTTCAGCGCCTGTTGTGGCAGATGCAAAACCCACCTGCGAATTCAAACCCATCGTTCTGTGCCGTTTGTACACGGGCACTCCCTCAGCCAAACTCTGTATGGGCACATCTGGAGGTTGTGGGAGGAGTTGTATTTTTTTCACTTTCTTGTAAAATAGGTTGATGAAGGCCAAGTCAGGAGATATTATCCAAGGGGCTCCAACTCAAGCTCTTTGAATTCCTTGGTTGGGAATGATCTAGACAGGGGCACAGAGCGGTGAACGTGACGATGCCCATCGTTCGGCCACGGCGTAGACCTCTGGCGTACAGCGCAGGGATGATGGGAAGTCTTTGGGTCAGAGTCCTGAGTCCAAGTCTTTGGTACTAAGATCCTGAGTCCCTATTAAAAACAAGTCCCTGGGGTGGAGTGGTAGGTCAGTGGTCCAATATCTGCTTCAGATCAAGGACTCAGGTTTCGTCCCTGGCATGTCCTAGAAAGACACTACCAGTGTAAACACATCTAGGTTAGATGAACTAAGGCAGCTGCCTTTTGTTCCTGGGCCTCTGGGCACGTATTACTGGGTTGTTTCCTTTTATACGGTGTCCCTCCGGCATATGTTTCCTGTTCTTGTTATTCACAGAGCAAAGGCAACTCAACCGCTCTGATGTGAAAGCACCGAAGGGCTGAATGGAAAATATGGGAGGGGCTGCAGAGGGAAGGCGTTGCCTGGGGGGCTCAGCACAGCAGTGATCAGGGGTGTTAGGAGGTCACAGTGAAACTGCAGTCTACAAGAGCAATGAAGAATACTCTGGACAAGTAGCATGGATACCCTCTGGTCCTCTGCCCCGACATGAAATGGAAGCAAAGGCTGGCAGAGATCAACCGACCCATTTAGAAACGATTCCAAACAATGATCTTGACCGCTCAGAGCACCAACACATGGGAGTGGATGGAGTGGGGTGGCTGCTTTCTCATCCTTTTCTTTTTTAGATCTAGTTATAGATCAGCATTCTCAGGCTTCTCTCTTTCAAGCCACTCCCTGACTCTCCTCCTTTATTAAGGAGAGGGCGCTATGAGACCCAGCACACGCACAGAAGCAAGCTCTAGACCACTAGTTCCCAACCTTGGGTCCCAGGTGTTCTTGAACTACAACTCCCAGAAGCCTTCACTTCTAGCTGGGCTGGCCAACATATCTGGGAGTTGTCGACCAAAAATACCTGGGTTACTCAAGGTTGGGAACCACAGGTCTAGAGGTTCTGTAATTTAAGTTAGATCCCCCCGTCCTCCTTCCCAATCCCCAAATATATTTCTTAATAATCAGTATTTTTCTCCTTTTTGCTTTATATGTTGTAGAGTGATTATTACTATTAAAGTCACAAGCAGTCCTGATCCACACAGAGTAGACCCTGAGCTGGTCTTTACTGTCCACCTCCCTCTTCTAAATGTGCAGACTCTGTTTATGTGCAAAGGGCCATGAATCCACAGAAAATTCAAATACAGTATAGCGAAGTATAATAGATAAGATCACGTGTAGCAGCTCAAGGGGGAATCTGCGAGGTTATCTCACATCTGCTCCTGTTTCTGTGGAACCGACAACAGTTTCACTCACATCTTAACTTTTTTTAAAAAAGAAAACAGGTTGATTGCTAACCAAACATACAAAGATCATATGACAATCCCACCTTGAGGGGAAATTTAAAATGTTTTTTTAGTGCCTCTCTTTTCATTTCCCATTATTTCTTCAGAGACAAGAAATGAAAGTAAATAAGGGTTCTTCGACAGGAAGCATATGCCGGGAAGACATCGCACTGTGTGAAATGAAACAATAAAAGCATGGTGTGTTGTAAGCTGTCCTAAGTATGTGCAGGGAGTTTCCCAGTTCAGAATGAGTAAAGTTTGCAAATGGGAATGAGAGAAGAAACCAGTTTAAGAACAGGAAAAATAAGAGGTAAGCAGGTAAGCCCATGGGCAGTTTCCTAAATAAGAAACACATTGTCTTATCTTTTCAGGCAAAACTCAAAGAAAAAATAATATTTTAAATTTTGCAGCATGGGCTATAAGAAGCCAACGTCACACCAGTTACAGAGGGAAACCAGCTCCATCAGGCAAGGCTGCTGAAAGGGACAGATGTTTACGAACTGCAAAAAAAGTTACAGAATTTTATGTCTATGACACAACGGCTTGGATCCTGTTTATTTAAGGCTGCTCAACAGCATAGCTTCTCAGCAGTGAACGGCCACGAAGTTTAGAAGGCAGTACAGGGACCAGCTGCGTGATTCAATGCCTGTGGTGGCTTCTTTGAATTCGCAGCATTTACTCTGGTGTACATATCCAAGAGGATTTCAGCATAAACTCTTTGACAATATTACGGTGTGCTTCCTACCGCCCCCTCTAAAAACATATGAACAGAATACCAGCTCATGATGGCAGGCTCCAGGTGTCAGGAAAACCAGTTTTTATTTATTTATTAAAAACATATGAGTTGAGAGATATATCATAGGAAAAAAATTATTTCAAATATACAGATACTATAATCCAATTAGCCATTAAAGGAGAAAGAAAAAAAATTCAGTGGACAAATTTCAGCTTCCAGCCCTAATCCCCCCCCCAACCTCCCCCTTGGGAGAAAAAAAAACCCTGAACTAAAAGCAGAGACATCTTCCTTTATCAATAAAGGCCAAGACTGACCATGGGGCTGTTTTATTTTGCAAGTCTTTTTGCCGATTTTAGTGAATTAAAAAAAACAAAAACAAAAACAAACAAAAAAAAAAAACAAAACAAAACACCACCTAACAATCATCCGTCTCGTCTCCAACATTTCATTCTCCAATTAGGCCTTTCAAATCTGATCAGCCATCGCAACGGCATTTTACTCTTTCATGCCAATTCCCAGGACTTCGGAACAGACTGGCCTTTCTATCTAATAAGTACAAAATAAACAGAATAAAATAAAAGAGAAGGGGCAAAGAGGGGGGAAATGGACAGAAGGTACTTCTTTTATAGCTTTATTACACAACCCACGGCCGTCCCAGTAAACTCTTCGCAATCTTGGATGCTTTTGACTAGAGGATAAGGAGGGATGGGTGGGAGGAGAAAGAAAAAGAAAAGAAAAAGAAAAATGGCAGAGGTTGAAGTAAAATCAACTGCAGCTAAAAGTCCTACAAAAATAATTACTACATGATATCTCTTATGCCGCACATGATTCACTCATTTTTTAACTTGGTTGTTTTGCTTCTCTAAAGGTTCAGCTGGGCTAAAATTAAGCAAACTGGGCCCAGGGGCATAAATGCGTGCAACTTGAAGACCACAGCAGGGGATACCTGCCAAGTTGAGTCATCTACATAGTTACAGGCCAAGATAAATGGAAAGTTGGGTCACAAATTCTGCATCAGCCGTGAGATTTAAGGTCATCTGTCTACAAAAGCATCTGAATACCACCCACTGCTCCATTTTCCTTTATGACTAGCCTTTTACCCAAATGCCAGCAAGGTCTACCACGTTGGATCTGGCTCTTGCTTTATCTGAGTGTTTTCTTCAGTCTGTGCCGAATCTGCGGAGACAAAGGAAATGCCTTTCAGGCGTTTTTAAGGCAACTGAAGGAACAAAAGGTATGAAGATATGAAGGCAAAGTGATGGGGAAAAGCGGTCCTTCATAGAAACAGAAGGAGAACAAAGCTCCAGGATAGCTGAATCAAGAAGGATGTCCCCTTTCCATGATGCAATAACTCTTGTCCGAACAAGCTTGTGGGGAGCAGCTGCTTGCAAGGCAGAAAAGCAACAGATGGAAATGATGCTCCCCTCAAGTAAATGAAAGATCACCAATTATTTTACAATTGGGTGCTTGGATCTCTCTACAAAGAAGCAAAAGAGGCAACGGAACCATAGAAATAATTTTTCGACATGACCTTTATAAAAATATGTAATTATTAATAATATAATAGCAATCCAGAGGCAATTTCTTGGTTTTTCGAGACATCAAATCCATATTCAAACAGCAGTTGCTTTTCTGCTGTCGTATCTGACAGTAGAACATTATAAATTTTATTATTAATAATAATATAATTAAACAATTTACCTTCCGCCACAGATACTTGAACTATTTGGTCTGGTTCCACTGGATCTAAAAGAAAAAAAAAACATTAAACTGTTTGTCCTATTTTTGATGATCTTGAGCAGAATGAGGAACAGGTAACCCTTCTACAGAGATATTGTGCTGAAACTCTCATCTTGCATTTTGATGGCATTTTAGTGCTAATGGTGCTAACATCTGTAGGCCTAAACATTTCCCACCCCATCTAATGGTACCTGAATTGCATTTCTACCCTAAGCTAAGAACATCCAAAGGTCCCTCCCTACTCAGAGCGTTCGCAGAAGAACAGAAAGGTAAACCACTTCTGAGTATTCTGTACCTAGAAAACTCTGCAACAGGTTGCCATTAATCATAACTGACTTGATAGCATATTATTCTCATTACCCTTGCTGAATCATAGAGTCGGAAGGGGCCTCTGAGGCCATCAAGTCCAACCCCCTCTGCTCAAGGCGGGAATCCAAATCAAAGCAGATCTGACAGAGGGTGGTCCCATTTTCTCATGAATGCCTCCAGCACTGTAGTGCTCACCACCTTCTGAGGTCCGTTGTCAAGCCAAAACTAAAGTTAAGAGTGCACTTAGTTCTATTATGGTACAGCATTAGAGCATTTCTGCTAACATCTATGCCTCATCTAAAATGAGGGGCATTCATTTTCTTCCTGATCATGTCAGAAACAAAGCCGCACACACTAGTAACAATCTTCCATTTACCTTGTACCACTGGCTCAGGGACAGGCACAGCTGCTGGTGCTGGTGGTGGTGCTTCTGGTTCTGTTTTATCAGGAATTTCTAGAAGACCAGAGTCAGAATTATTTTTACATCCGCTTAGTTCCCTTGAGTAGTAAATGTGACCAGATTTAACATAAGTCTATGCAAAATTCTGCATGTCTCCCAACATATAAAATACAGAAATATCTTAAGAGTGGCCACCCTAAACTAAAGTTACCTACAACATGAGCAAAAATGAGCAGCAGCTTTAGTTAACTGGGATGCTGAGACACTTAGCTATAGGTCTAATGCTGCCTTACACACATTTTAATTTCTTTGTGATGTGCCAGAATGTCTACTAAGCCAGCACTGCTTCCCTAGAACGGGAACAAAAGCTCTGTCTTGTTTTGCTGAAGGATTATGGCAGGAACTGCACTTACAAACACATGCAGTTAGAGAGATCGAGGCACTGGTAACAAAAATACTTACGGTTGTTCATCACAAGTCCAGGGAATGGTCTGTTGGAAAAGACAGAATACAACAGTTGAGGACTAAGGTGCCTTTCATATCAAGAACCCAACGTTTTCACAAGCTACCTAATTTGAGGACCGAAGGTTTTCAAAACTCAACTCAAAATACAGCCTTCGTACTTTTCACTTTCAAGATGTGTTGACCTATAACGCGTATTAGCTTTGGGTAGGATGATGTGTGCACAGAGTCACTGATACCACCCCAGTAGAGAACAAGAAAAATTATCATTCAAATTTAGTATCAATAAATTATCTACATGACCTTGGTTTTACACTTAATCCAGAATTACAATGGATTCCATTTGTTTGTTTTTTGTTGTTGTTGTTTTTGCTCTCAAACAAGTCCTTTCCGATTCCATTTTTATACTGTTTTCTACATTTTGAACTTTGCTAAATAAATAGCATGTTACTGCCACATATCTCTTTTTCCAAAATAATGCCACAATCTTCAAAGCAGGAACTTAGAAGATTTCCAGCAAGCCAGTCTGCTAGTGGTCAACAGTATCACTGGCAAAATCTCAATACAGGGGCTGAAATCCTGCCCCACAAATTAGGCTGTGTAAGGCTGATGACATCGTCAACCACAACAATTAAAAAAAAACTAGTTTCCTTTAAGTCAGTTAGAGCTAGCCTATTTGAATCAATGGAATTTACATAGCAGTTGACTCTAAATCCCCACTGATTCAGGGGATCTACTCTAGTGTGATATAGTAGGCTAAGGAACAGGATTTTGACCAGTATGCTTAAATCTGAGAGGTTCACTTTTAGTTATTGAGGCTAAAACCTGTCCCCGTGCATCCATCAAATCCTCTTTTTAAAGTTTTATGAGTCTGCCACAACACCAGCCATGGCAAAAGGGCTGCAACACTGAGATGCTCTTGGCCTTATGTACTGGCTCTAACTTTATCACAGCGAAAAACCTCTGCTCACACAGTGTACACTGTAGGTCTACTTCGGACAACTGTGGGTTAACAGACCGTGGACTGTTACAGTGGATAGTTGACAAAACAACAACAGAAACAAAGAAACTAGATGCAAACAAAAATTGTTTTTCTTTCTCTCTGAAAGGCTTTTGCACAGACTAACACAGCGACGTCTGGATCACATACCTAATGACGGTAAATTTAATAAACTCTGCTGAATCCAAAATCTTCCTCATGGAACTGATTTCCAGATAGCTGGGAGCTTTGAAAGATACGCCAGGAGGCATCCCATCCACCACCACGCAGCCGGGGTTGACCGTGATTTTTCGGTATGGGACCTTTACAGGGTAACCCATGCCAATGGCTTCCCCTAAAGACAGAGAGTTAAGACTAAACTTATAAGGAAAAGAGAAATCTCTTAGAATAAACACTAGACTTTAACCACGTTGTCTCAATGCTACATTATAATGGGCAAAATCCCAGCATAATGTTACACTGATGCAAGCCAGATAAGGCACAGGAAACCATGAATTTAAACTAACTGAAACCTTCCTATTGCCCCCCCCCAAGTCATCATACTTTCAGGATCCAAGGTTTCCTAGTATTCCATTTTACTCCGAGGAAAGCTTTGGGGACCTCAGGATAGAGACAGAGGGAGTTTTTAAATACTCAAAAATCACCCCTAGACTGCTGGTGCTGGGGGATAAAGATCCGGTAGCTACAAGCTTCACCCGTCCTGAGGCTACCAAAAGCCTCCTCAAGGCAAAAAAGGAGCCTTAGAGAGCCTCTGACTGTGATAGGACACTTTCAATTCATTTGAAATAAATATTTCCAACATTGGTTCTAGGTTACTCCAGCATTAGTTTATGCCGGCAGGATATTACCCAAGTAATGTACGGTTCACTTAAAAAAAAAACAAGTCAGAAAGGACCACTAGGAAAACTACTTCAAGACAGTAATAATGACCAGCACTGCCTTTGAATGGCAGAGATGGAAAGGGATCCTGTGGATCATCCAGTCCAGCCACTGCCTTTGAATGGCAGAGATGGAAAGAGCCCTATCAAGGAGGCACTGGGGGGGAATCGAACTCCCAGCCTCTGGCTTTGCACCTCAAACCCACGGTCAAGTCAGACATGCTTTTCGGAAGCTGCTGCAGCCCATTTGCTCAGGCAACGTCGGTGGGTCTGGTGCCAACATCTCCCCTGAAACCCCATTTGGGCCACAAACACCCCTTTTTAAAATGTGACCCACCCTAACCCCATTTTTGCAAAACCAGAAATAACTATAAGTTCATCTCTGTGCCTGGGACAGCAAGCTTTCCAACCCCACTAATAAAGCAAAGACCTTGCGCTTTCCTCTAGAAATGGAAAAAAGTGAGAGGACAGCTGTTCTTCACCTGTTCAACAGGTGTTTTTTTGCCAATGATGTAGAAGGAGAGAAGGGGAGCATGGTTCAATTAAGAATCATTATTTACTAAATAAGTAAACATAGGCTTACTAGACACGGATGGATCTTCTTTCAGCCCTAACAATTTGCTTTAAAAGTGCACACTGCCGCAAGTACGTCCTTTGCTCAAACTGCCTGAAGTGACAGAGAGCCATTTCACACCTGAGTCATTCTGTGTAGCTCTTGCCTCATTCAGTTCAGGGTTTAAAGGCATTCTGTAGGCCGTGCAATTAATCATGCTTTTTGATGCTGGAATAAATGAAAATTACCGAACTTGCGACTGAAGAGGTCATTCACTTGCTCTCTCAGCTGTCGGGCCTTCTCTACTTTGGAGGTTCTCTCATCATCATCTGTAAAGTTCAAAGAAAGAAAAAAGAAATTACATTTGCATTGCAAGTGAACACAGACACAAGTCAGTCTTATGCCTAATAATTTAAAGGAGCACTGGCTTAGCCTATGCCCATTTGTCAAAAGAAAAGGGTTGCTTTGCTCTGTGTCTGACATGAGAATGACTGATCAGGTTTCTAGTCCGGTCCTGTCCGCTTTTCAACCTAGAAGACTATTTGTCCTTTGAAGCCAGAAGAAGAGTGTGCATGCTGGGGAGAAAACTTCAGCTATGTAGAGAGACGATCAATGTAAAATACATCATTCGTGTCTTACGTTCCAACTACAAAAACCGAAAATCGAAAGCTTTTTTATGCAAAGTGCCAAGTAATCTGGTATTGAGGCACACTTAGATCTCGAGGCTGCTTTTGAAAATTCCTTCTGGTACCTTTTAATTATATGGAACAGTGGCTCCCAACCTTGGGTAACCCAAGTGTCCTTGGACTGCAACTCCCACAAGCCTTCACCACCAGTTACATTGGCCAAGGTTTCTGGGAGTTGCAGTCCAAGAACACCTGGGTCACCCAAGGCTGGAAGCCCCTGATATGGAGAGAGACAAAACAGAGCTTAGCTTTGGCTTGGCATGCATCCACGCCGCAGAATTTCCCTGACATCAGTGGAGCTTCCAGCACAAATCAACAGTGAGAGCACGGAACGCCTAGCAGGGTTGTTACTGAAATCAGTGCCAAGGCGGTTGGTTGACTATGTATTAAACTCAGTTAAAGGCTGAACACACAGAGAAGCTCAAGAGCAGCAGATCCTGCTCTCAGAGTAACCATTAAGACTCATAAGCAGAACAGGTATAGTGACAGTTTCTACAAAGGCCTGTCCGCAGTTCTGATGGGCCTGCTTGGTGAAAGCTCGCTATTTTTCAGCTACAACGAACACCACCTGTGATTGATAGCCATTAAAATCTTACATCTGTAGGTTGTGCAACCGCCTAAAGGCCGGTTGCCTTTAGAAGTACCAGTGATAAGAGTAAAACTAACATGCTAACAAATATATTTGAAGTGTATAAGGAAAAGGGAAAATGAGGCAAATTACTGTTGAGAAAGAATGCCCTACATATTGCTAATGCTAGAGTCGTCAAAAAGGGCTCGAACAAGGGAGTGGCGCTCATCTTTTAGGCTGGCAGAGGGAGGGAGTGGAAGGAAAAGCTTCCCTTCTGAAAACACAGCTCCTAACAAAGCCTGACGCAAAGGCAAAACCCGCACGATCTGAAGCACAAAGATGAAAGATGATTCTGTGCTTCACCCCTTCTTCTTTACAACAAAATGTACCCAAAAGTTATTTTGTAAATATGCTGCTAATGCGCACAGGCGAGTGCTAGTTACAACCAGATTTTAAGCTGGTCCCTTAAAAACAATAATGAATTAAAACAAAGAAAAAGCATCTGAGTAAAGAAAAACATTATAAGTAGAACTCCTTTTTTAAAAAACATAAATGCTAGTTAAAAACACGCAGTAGTACAAACTGGACAGAGTACCTGGTATGGTCACTTGAATGATGTTGAGGTCTTCTACTCCAGCAGCAGTGTTCACAACTGGGTCAGGCACACTTACAGTATTTGTCATGGTGTTAGATAAACTGGTTCTTCCTTACAAAAACAGATGGATTTTAAAGCATTAGACCAAAAATGTATAAAGCAAAAGCTTTATTTCAAATTCCAATTTTTTTTAAAAAAAAAACATCGAGAACAAATCAAGGGAAGGTACGAATAGCAAATAACAAAGCATCCATGATTAACTAAAATACTAGGGGAACAGCTCATGAAGTGGAAGATCATTTCTGACACCATCCGAGTCCATCAGTCCTTGTTTCCTACGACAGGATAGCTGTCAAAGACCCTGCTGAGGGTGGTTTTTATACTCAAATTTCAAGGCATCCTGGAAGCCAGGAAAAAGACATGCTGAACCCCAAATACAGAATATGGTAGCTCCCCAGCCGAATAAGGACAGGGATAAACAGAGTGGAACACCAGAATGCTGGCCTTTGAAGTGCTTGCCAGTTTCTACATTAATGCAAAGCAATTTTGCATCAAGAAGTTTGTCACACTCGTGAACTCTGTGCAAACATCCCATGTTTAAAAAGTCCTGCAGAAACATGCTCTTATCTGACAAGATAGATAGATGCACATGAACCAGCATGTAGAAAATGTGTTGATGTACAAATATACTATTTGTATATTCTTTCACAGTTGAAATTTGCTATTATTAAAAATAATGGAGTTTTAAAATGCACGGCTTTTTCAGACTCCTTGGGGCTTGTTTTGGAAATGGTTCCCTCTTCCTAATTGAAGTTGCCAATACTTATCAAGCAGAAAGATGAGACTTACTTGAAGGGGTTGGAATCACTGTGGTGCTTTCTTTAACTGCTGCTTCAAACATCTCAGGCCTGCAGAGAAATGCAGTGAAGTTTTGACGTAAGAACATATAAAGAAGTAAAGCTAAACAATTAAAGGTATTGCAGTTCGATTCCCTGCAAGGCCAAAGGTTGAATTCTTCGCCACTAAATACAAATACCAAATACTGTAAATGTTCATTATCACAGAAGAAAAAAAAAATACAGCCAACATTTCATCGAGAGAGGTCCTGTTGTCTCCGAACGCCACGCATACATTTAAACCATTCTGACACCTTAGAAATGTTACGCAGGTCTTCAGGAAAAGGTGTAAAGCAGGATTCTAAAAATTCATTAAATACCTTCTGGGCATACTGAGAAAGGACATTAAAAACTGTCAGCCAGGTTCAATGTATTTCTGGGCTATAGTAGAAGTTGAGCCACCAAATAATAGCATGCACACACATATGCACACGTGCACACCCACTCCACCATACAGTCATCAACTTCACCACCAAAAGGTGAAGCTGCCTCTTGACAGAAAACAGCTCTTGGAGAAAAAAAGATTTATCACCTATGGGGTTGAAGGTGGCACTGGGAATTGCACAGTAAAATATTCTGTCTATGGCATGCTTAAAAATGCAGATCAGAAGCCAATCCCATTTATATCTGATTGACAGGCTTGTTTATATATTGCAGGAGGCTGTGGCTGCAGCTCAGTTTCAATCAACACAACATACAGAACGCAAATGAACCACAACTTCCCTCAAACAGCAATTGTGTTCTTCAAAGAACTGTTTGCTGAACTTCGTAACAAGAAATACAGTGCTTTCCAGCATCCTTAACTAGACTTTCCAGTGCTAATTACACTGATTATGTTCTCTTTTCAGTTGAGGTTAAAGCAAAGCACCAAAGGTTTCTGTCTGTTGCGGGAACTTCCACAGCAACATTTGCTACAGTGCCTTTCCAGGTCACCTGGTTAAAACACTAGTAGGGTGTTTCAGAAAATCAGATTTTAGCTGAACTTCACAGGCGCTCTCTACATCTGAAAATGCTGATTTGTGGAGGCTCTACGGTTACTGATTTCTCTGAATGTCAGAAAGGGTGTAGCCCATCCAAAGGCCTACAACTGGATTAAGCCCCCTAATCTAGAGCATCATCTTTGTTTCCCTGATGAAAGAATCCAGCATTTGGCAAGGCTGAGCTCTGTTTTTCATGTAAGCTGGGCAGAGGGACCCCTCATATGGTACACATTACATTTGGCTTACTTTTTAATGATAAATTTTATCTTAGCTTTGTTTCGGAGGATCTTTTCCAATCGTGGAATGCCAAACGTAGACGGGCGACGGAAAGGCACTCCCTCAGGCAGGCCTTCGACGTAGAAATCTTCAGGATAAGACTCAAAGAGAGCAAAGGGGACTTTCACTGGTTCTGACAGTCCTAGCGCTTCCCCTAAAACAGAAGATAACTTAAAATATTTCACGGGTTTCATGCTATACTTATTTCTTTATACTTGTTAGCAGTTCTCAACCTCTGGTCATCCAAAGTCCCACCAGTCACTCTATCGATGAATCTGAGACCATCTTGAGAGAATCAAGGCTTTGAGACTCATGCTTTTGTACTAACTCAGATATTATAGTTTATAAATATGGTAATTTATGGTAGTTTATTTATAAAGCCCAACTTAAATATTTAAACATTCTATTAAGATGGACAAGACATACATCACTCATGCCAGATAAATTTGGATCCTTATTTGCAACATTCATAGCAGTCACTTGCTTGTTTGGAAATCTCTCTCTAGAAAGGTTTGGAAATTCTGTGCAGTTTGTGACTTTATAAGGTCAATTAAGACTACCTTCTTTCAACAAGCAGTTTGAGGAAGCAGGAATTTTATTTCATCCTTAAGTGAGGCTTTAGCAGAATCTTTTATCATTCTGCTGATGCATGTTCTCATCTGAAGTTCTACAAACAGTACACTGCAAAAGACTTGGTATGCTTACCGCATTTCTCATTAAAAAGGTTTTCAACTTTTTGTTTCAGGTCCGTGATCTTGGCATTCCACGCCTCTGCCAGAAGATTAGAAGGATAAACTGATTATTTCTATTCTGTCCCATGAACCCATTTGCTTCCCTGCTCCAGAACCAATTCCCCCCACTTTTTGAAACTTCCTGAAGTTCTAAGTTAATGACAGTTTCAGATCATAACAAAAAATGTAATTTCAAATATCATAAAAACAAGAGAACCTGATATTTCACCATGTTTTTCAACTGTGCTAACAAAAAAATGGAATGTCAAGACTTGGAGCTACAAAGACTGCCCCAAGTGGCTGAAGTAGTACTGAAAAGATTAATTTATCTAGTTTTGCTACCAACTGTGTGGCAGATAACATTCATCCAAGGAAGAGGAGTGTAAACACACCATTTAACTGGTGATTTTTCATAATCAATGACTTATACACAAGTGGCTGAAATGCAGGCAGACTAATGGATTATGGAGTTTAACAGGTTTGGAGACCAAGATCTTATTTTCTTTCATGAAATGTGCGTATTTTTAAAAGTTGGGATAGGTAGGCATTTTGAAGAACAAAGACGTTTGCTTAACGTTTGAATACAGATATAGGACATGGCAGTGAAAAAACAACATGAGTTTCAAACTCAACTCAGCTAGAATCTTTTGAATAGTCTGTAACATGTCACATGTCCAGTTTCATCATCCTATGGGTAAAAAAGGGATGAGCTGATGAACAACACATCATGATCATGAAGTAATTTACACCTCTGAATCATGACAGATATATACTATTTTTTTGGGGGGTGGGGGAAATCATCTACTACCCAAATCTAAATCTGTATGGTAAGGGTGTTAAGGTTACCTCATCTGACATGGGGAGGAAACAGAAGGGTCTAATCTTTGCTACACTCAACACCTCTAAGCAAATTTGAGAAAGGCAGTAATTTTTTTTCAAATGAACATGATTTTTTAAAAAAACTGACCCATTTCAAGGTCCTCTGAGCCACCCGCCACTCATTTTAAAAGCTATCCTAGACAATCGTTTGGGCCTTTTCCTCCTAATGATAAGCACTAACTTCCTGAACAGCCTCGGAAAGGGAAGAAGCCGGATGGGAGAATGTGTAACTTTTTCTCCCGCTTTTAGGCCTGACTTGACCTTCTCTCTGAAGTTGCTGTTTACATTTCACAAGAACGACAGGGATCATCACCAACCAGTGTGTGCCCAAACTGCTTTATATACACGAATCCGAAATTCCCCACTCTTCAAGATCCATCCTTCTACTGAAGAAGCTCAAATGTGGTTTGAGCACGGCAAATGGCCACCAAATGAATACGTGGCAGCAACCAGATTCAAAAGCCATGCTTTTCGTCTCCACTGTCTCCGTTTTAGCCATTATGCTCCAAGGAATAACAAGGAATCTGGAGTAAGTGCTAGGAGCCTTATTCACATCAATTGGGAGAAGACCATTTCCCCTTTGCCCAGAACTTACCAAAAGAAAACTCTCTTCCTCTTGGCTTAAAGCCCACATTGGATCCATTGGTTTGAGGATTAGTTCTGACTTCTGGGGTTGGGGTCTTATTAGCAGGACCTGCATTTGAACGTAACACAAAGGGGCTTTTTGCGTTGACTTCTCAATGTATGCCATGACTAGGGAAAGCTAGAATTTCTAGTTACTCTAAGAAAAACAAGTTCTGCAAAAAAATGTGTTCCATCCAGGGAGAGTGTCACGGATGTGACACAAATAGCAAGCTGTGCAGGAAAATTCCAAAAAGATGTAACAATACTTCCAATCCATTCACCAGAAAGATTAAAAGATCACAATGTGATGAACAACAAAAAGGTAGCTCTGAACAATTAGGTAGAAAATATTAATTTAAACATTTCTTTAACACACATATTTACCTAAAAACTGTAAATGAAAAAGATGCCTGGATAAGTGGATGGCCTCTTGGCGGGAAGAAAATGGGTGAATAGTTTGGGTCTCTTAAGACACACCAAGACAATGTCTCAGACCAAAGACATCAGAGCAGGGGTGAGGGACAGCATTAAGGGGGCAGGCTGGATAGACTCCACATGGCTCCTGGCTGAAGCTCATTTTGGGACATTCTAGGCAGGGTTTGAAGGTGAGGTCAGCTTAATTCCTTCTCCTTTAACTGGGGATTAACATAAAGATAAAGACAACCCCCTGCCCTTTAATCTTCTGAACTGGAGGAACAATTAGGGTTGAGTAAACACTGAGGGTGGAATCCCTGATCAATAGGATCAATGGGAATCCACCACCATCCCAATATGTGTGTGGTCTCAACTGGGAGAGGAAAGAGCCACTCAAATGGTCAGCCAAATCTGACAATCCCAATATTCAGAATATACACTAGGGAGAAGAGACACAGAACCACCGATTGACACACTGAGCTGAATATTATTAGGCAAATTGGGCTTTCTGTTTCAGCCCAGTGTAGGCATGCATAGAATCTGTGCTGGGAGAGGGATTAACAAGAAAATGTGCCAATTTCCTCTTTTTCTCTTGCACCACAAATGTTTTTGTTTTCACAATCAAGCTCTATTTTACAGATGGAAGGAAGTTAATTTGTTAACTTGTTGAAACTACTTATTCTTAGAAGAAAGCAACTGTCATACCTTCGTCAACGGTAACTTCAATCTCTGGAACTTCTGAGTTGCTTCCATGGCTCTGTGCTGGTTTTGAACCTTCCGGACTCTGGGATCCTACAAAGTGAGTAACATTATTCAATATTCTAGTAAACTGGCTGCCGTAGAGTCATCAGAAACAAACTCCACTCCAGAATGTGTGATGTAGACACCTGTCTACTGATGTCACTGAAAACGATGAATGCAATATGCATTTACCAGCAGACGTAACCGTGTGCACGTACCGGTGGCACCAAACCCAAGGCTTTTAAGAGCCAAACAATGCAGAGACAACTATGAGGTTGGTTCCCTTCTGCCGTGACAAAGTGCCAAGTTGGACAATCTTTTTTTTAAGTTTCCTGTTTGGGATTCTTAGAAAGTCGCTTCTGTTCACTGTCATAAAATCAGCTGGAACTCAAAGCTGCTACTCTGCTCTTAAAACTGGTCTGTTTACCTTCTCCGCCAGTCAATTCTTTGCTTGACATGAGCCTTAAATTCTAGATGCAGTTTTCAGCTAAATATTCAAAGCAATTAAAAACCATAGACACAACATGCCACCACTTAAAGGTGAGGAGAGAGAAAGCAAACCAGCCGGATCCTACTTATCGTCTTTGGTATGCAGCAGGTTGAGAATTTAGTAGGCTCCCAGGGCAAGAGCTATGATTCTTCCTCTGACAGATAAATACAGTGGTGCCTCGCTAGACAATGATAATCCATTCCACTGAAATCGTTGTTTAGCAAAATCATTGTCTAGCGGAAAGCATTTCCCCACTGGAATGCATTGAAACCTGTTTAATGCATTCCAATGGGGAAGAATCGTCGTTGTCTAGCGAAGATCGGCCATAAGAAAGGCGCTTTGTGAACCGCTGATCAGCTGTTTAAATCGCTGTCTTGCGAAGCTTAGGTCCCGAAAACACCTGTTTTGCAAGCGCGGAGGAAGCTGTCAAAATCGTCATCTAGCGAAAATCGGTTTGCGAAGCAGGGACCAAACATTGTCCAGCGAAATTCACCCATAGAAATCACTGTTTTGCGAATCGCTTATAGCAATCGCAAAAAGTCAGTGTCTAGCGAAAAAACTGTCATGCGAGGTAACTGTCTAGTGAGGCAAGATACAAAACAGACTGTATACAAGGGAAAAATAGGAGGTGGCCTACTGGATTTCAGTTGTTTTTTAAAGAGCAGTTCTGTCTTCATCACTTACCTGAAGTGTTTACTTTACTAGCCAATCCGGGAGGCAAAAAGGCAGTGACAAGTTCTGGCCTACAAATCAGACAATGTTTTATTAGCACAGTGGTATCAAAGAAAATTAAATATAAAAGCCCTACAGAGCCTGTAACAACTATATGCTTCCTTGGGGACAGGAAGAGATCCAGTAACTGTGGGCTTTTGGTTTGTTTGTTTTTGTTGTTTATGTTTTGCAATATAGGTAGGGTTTACTTGTAAAACAGTTCAGTTTTGTACAATTAAGGAAAGACACACGACTAGAGCTGTGCCATATACTTAGAAGAGGATGGTACAGTGTCACAAAGTAATATGAACGGTTTAGATCAAAAAGAACACTGATTAAAAGGTTCCAATTGCCACGTGACAAGCTCTAGGAGAACGAGACCTACTGCAGCAGCAGAAGAGATGGAACTGAGGTAACCGTCAGGGCGGGCGCACCATGAGGGCTTGGGGGAAGGTCCTAAATGGTTACTTTGGCTCTAGAATGTTCCAAGGCCTCTGCGCATGCACAGACTTAACCCATTAGTGTGCATTCACAGAGGCCACGAAGAAGATCTGACATCTATGAACCATCCAAATCTGAAAAGAAGTGGATGAGGCACCCTGGACACCACACCCCATCACAATCATTGATTTCGTGTGTGTGTGTGTGTGTGTGT